TATATATATGGGGATTTGAGACCTTTTGTTCGATACCTGTGCAAAATCTTTATCAACGGACCATAATATACTGAGGAATAGTTCACTTTTCATACGGTGCCATATTGTAGCCGACATCACTCCTTCAGTATCGCTGAAAAACGTGATAGCTTGGGCGTTGCATATAATAATGATAAGTATAGTGAATGAGCCTTATTTCCTATGCATGTAATAGCTAAAGAAATAAAATATATCTAGGACCGAAGGCACTTTTGCTGCTCTGTTCATTAAGTCCCTATGAGAAGGAATCAACGATGAAACTATTTCTTTGTTAGAACATAATTGATTGGGTTCTGGGCGCATATCAAAAATGTTTTCTCATATTTTTCAATGCTTTCTAACTGCGGCAGTATGTTGATATATTCTATTCTTGGAACTGAATATTTTGAGGCATAGTGCGAGCTATTTAATCACGGGATTGATTGGAAACAGAGGAAATAACACCGACAGTCTCGTCAGTTTAGCGTTATTCTATCGGTATCAGCCGATTTTATGAATGGAAATTACTGCAAAAGGCCGTGCCCGTTTGTAGGGAAGCGAAGACAGCAGGTGGCTGATCGATCGGATGCGAGCGCCGAATACATTTTCCGAGTGGAGGCACACACTTACGATGCTCTACCCAGAAAAAGGATTCGTTCAGTCTAAATAGTCAGCCAAACAGCCAACAAGACAGACAGGCAGCAAGCCGTCATCAAAGATGGCGAGCCTCTGCCATTACGATTCTCTTGTGCCGGCCACCACCATTTTGGCGGTGGTTTAAGTCTATTAGTTAAAAATTTCTGTTTCGGGGTTTTAAAAACGCTATTGCGTATTCATTTGCCGGCATCGATGGCACCCACACAATGACGTCAACGGTTCTTGCTGCATCTGTTGATTGAACGTTTTGCCCGACTAGTTGATATCTATCGTGGTATTGACTGAGGGACGAATGTCGAACCTGAAATGTCATGACGTTTCATGTAGTTCTATAAAGTTTCTGGTTCTCGCTGCTGTTATCCACAAACATGAATTCGGTGGCCTAAAACAAAGCTGTACAAAAATGTGACTGATCCTTCGTAGGTTTTGGTTTCCTATCATTCCATGTCAATTACGCCCTCTAACGCATGACGACAGGGAGTTATTGCGTATTGTAATACGTAACAAGATATGAGTTTCATGCAATAAAAAGCACACATTTAACTTCTTACAAAAGAAATGTAATTATAATTATTGACGCTGTTCGAGGATACGGGCGCTGACATTTGCTCTCTAAAGATTTCAAACTTCAGTTATCTTGGTTGGACGTTTTTTTTGCAGTTAGCAACCCATTGATAATATTATTGCTTCGGTTGTTTCCACGATCAATATTCTAACGAGACTGTCTCCGTGTTATAGGATGACAAACCCGAACCGGAACGGTGCAGTACTCGTGACCCTTCATCGCAATCATCGTGGTCTGCGAAACCGGTGGCTTCGGTATCTCCACTGCCTGTTACTGATATTGCGGTCACGTCTTCTGAGGAACGAAGTGTTAACCCTGTGAGCGTGTCCCCAGCGCCCCATTCACATGCTCCGCCCGAGGGCTTTGAATGGGCTGTCGCGCTGTACGACTTTGAGGCTCAACGGGGTGACGAGTTGGGATTCGCCGCCGGTGAAAAGCTACTCGTCGAATGTCGATTTGACCATGATTGGCTTTACGGATGCACCGTTAAAGGTGAATATTCACAATAAAACTTTACCGCGTACATAGTGTACATGTTGATAAGTGATGTCTAAGGAATCAATGCAGAGATAGGATGCGGGCTCCGTCGTTTACCTGTTTCGATTAATGCATCGTCACACAGGGGGCAGTCCAGTTGACTTTATGCTTTTTACTAGTAAAAAGACTAAAAATCCTACTATATGCGAAAATGCGGCGCGTACTGACAACTAATGGCGAAATGTCCGGCGTCCGCCGCTCTTATTCCTATTTAAAACGTATGCGAAACAATCGATGCCTTACACGCGACGAACGATCGCTGTTGAGGCGGGACGTGACCATGTAGTTCTTCGTAGTCGCTCTCGCACGCACCTGTATCACAGTTAAGCTACGTGTTCCTGTTATTGCTGTCACAATGACTTGTCGGCGTGCCCCGGGCCCCACAGACTAGTATTAATGCGAACCCTGCGACGGGGTTACTGATCTTACTTTTACAGCTTCATCTATATATATATATATATATATAAGAATGACTACAAGGCTTCGTTGCTCAACCCCGTATTTCGCGCAGTTCGCGTTACATGGGAAGCATTGAACCAACTATGTGCATTGGAGTCGCCGTCATAGCTTGTATGATTGCAATAACAGCTCCATTTGCATGTGTCGGCATATGCCACAAACCGAAACATGCTATATTAGTGAACTGGATCTTGCCAATAGGGAGTGTATTGGTATAACGTTTGGCACATTAACGTTCTGGCCTTAACATGCCTGCACCATTTAACTACAATGTAGGTATATTTTATTTATTGTGTAAATTTAACTTTAAAATATTGCAGTACGTTCCCCATGGAAGTTACCACTATGCATCAAAAGTTTTTTTGAAGTTGCCAGAGTAAAGGAATATAGCTATGGATGGTGTGTAATTATGCGATGTTTCAGTTTGAAATATTCAAATATCATAGATTCAATGGATTGGTAAGGTAGAGAGTTTCAAAAGCTCAATCGCTTCCAGCATGATCTACAAGCCACTGTATGTATATAGGCATTTTTATGTATGTTTAAAATAGCATAGTGTCCACATATATGTAACATCATATTGTTACAGACAGACAAACCAATGTGTTCGCAAGGACCACCTGTAAGTAAGTCTCATTCACTTTGCGTGCATATTAGCAAATTACTTAGAAAGTTCCCAAAAATTATGAAAGATATGCCTTTATGTGACCTAGGCTTTAAGGCAACATTTAAATACGGCTATCTTGTTCATTCAGTTGACTGTTACGAAGTCTTATAGTAATATGTTTTTCTTTATTTGCAGATTCTCGATGTGGTCTTTTCCCTGCGGCATTCGTACAGCTCGAAAATGATTCGGAGACTGAGTCTCTGAAAGAGACCGACAGCATCAACTCGAAAGCGGCGGAGCTCATTTCCCCACCGGCTGTTGAAGTTTCATCCGGCAGCATCAGTGTTACGGGAAGACCGGCTGTCGCATTGTACACTTTTATGGCCGAACAAGAAGGCGATCTTGGTTTTGAGGTGAGTGACCACACATAAGCAGAATTTTTTATTTTGACCCGTGTATCTTCAAAATAAAGCAGAATTCTTAAAGAGCACTTCGTGATTCATCAACAACTAGCTAATGCATATATTACCTTTCGATGTTTCTGATCTGTGAAGCTTCTTAACCGCGCAACTATGGGTTTTTCGACTGTAATCCGTAACGATTGTAAGCTTATAGAGCTAGAATCACTAACGAAGTTCACTATATTTCTCCCGATATTTAGGAAGGTGAGACGGTGTACGTCCTTTCGCGCATCAATAAGGACTGGCTACAAGGGCGTAACAAACGTGGTAAAGAAGGTCAATTCCCCGCCAGCTTTGTACAACCTGAAAGAGAATCCAGTGCGACCACCATGGAAATCAGTGGTATTGATGGCCACAACAAGGTATACTATAGCTCACACTGCAACTTACGTACCTCGATGGGGCAGCTTTTGATTTTTGCTTAATTTGCTTTCGAACTACCTTTTCTACAGGGAAAAAGTGAATCCTGTGAATGTAAAGACACTATTTTGCCTTTCAGCAGTCAACACCTGCAAAGGACGCTGGCGTCTACGTATGCTTATATGATTTCGAGGCTCAACAGGATGACGATCTAACCATTCATTTCGGTGACAAGATTCAGGTAGACGCTTCAAATGCTTGATGGATTATTAATTACGACTAGTACATATGAAAGCTGCTCACTACAGCGTGCAAAATAATGTGTACGTGATAATATCACACTATTTCGGAATAACATGGCGTAACGAAGCAGTAGAGCAAGAGGAAAGCTAAGAGGCAAAACTTATCGATAATGTCTTGGCCAGTAGGTCACAACGAAAGCGATGCTTGCTAATTAAAAAAAGCCAGACAATGTCCAAAAGCTCTGTTCCAAGAGTGTTCATGTTATTATCAACTTTCAAGTACTTTATACATACTACTCTCTTAAATGTGCTTCCTTTGTTGATGGTTTAGGTGACTAAGATGGTATCCGAAGAATGGTGGCAAGGCCGTATCCTTGGAAATCAGCAAGAGGGAATTTTTCCTGCGACCTTCGTAAAACCTCTATAACCTAAACACCGCGTCTGGCATTGCCAACTAGATGGACGATTTTAGCGTGAATGTGCAGCAACGAATTGATTTCCGTAATCCAACGGCAGTATGAAGCACGCGATCAAGGTAGACAGCGCCGGTACGAGTGCGTGACCCATCCATCCAATAGCTTCCGGACGTTCCAATTTTGTGCCTCTTGCACGGACTATGCTCACCTACATTCTTTTTATAATCAGCAGCGACTAGGTAGCGATATTTACTAGGTAACCGTGGACAAATGCGTGATGTGATAGGACCCTTTATCCTGCCTCTGTATTTATCATCTTCTCCGTAGAATATTGCTTGTTGGATTTGACTGGCTACATGCATAGACGGTCAGAACATGTTGCCTATTATCGCGTGCTAGCGGGCATTCCCACAACGTACGTGTGATGACTGTCTTAGCAAATAGGCGTCATATGTTGTTGTACTTATATATGTAGCAGATGCAAATAAAGCCAATGTCTCTGTACGTTCTGAGGTAAGCGAATCTGGAAATTAACGAATGCTGGTTCGTGTGTGCTAGGCGTGATTTCAAAAATGTCAGCATGGAATGAACGACAGGGAAGAGCCATGAGATGATCTAGTGTGAACGTAGTAATACACAAACAATGTAACGAGTATTATTAGCTCTGTTAGCGGTCATGTAGTATGGTAACTGTAGGGGTAGACTTTTAGCAGAATTAAAGGCATTTGGTGTTATTGCCCGCAAAGCATAGAAAAACTACACTGTTGTAAAACATTGTCATCCCCCATACAAAGACGAAACGAGCAAAATGTATGTATTCCCCTATCGCACCCCTTATTAACTATTTATGTTTTGAAGGGAATATTGAGAGAAATGAAAATAATGTTTGCTTGTATTTCGATGGGGACTCTTTTGAAAAATCCTTATGCGTGTACTGAATGTGCATTAGATTTGTAGATAGATAGAATTACTTCTATGGTCACATAGTCTGCGTTTAGACCGAATTCTGGTTTCGATGTAGGTTTTCGTAGCACACAACTGGATCTGATCGTTGCTACCACACACACCCGTTCATCAATGATGTAGACGCCCATCTAGGTCTTATCCGATTCGAATAATGGGGCAGTATTAGATAACCGTTCAATATTGGAGAAAACGTACTGAATCTTCGAAAGAACTTTCCTAAGCCCGTTTGTCTTTGATACCTTGTGAAACTGAGCGTGTGTTCAGCATGAGTCGATGCGGGTGAGAACGCAGGGAATTTTTGTTGTTGCGTGGTTGGTTATGTGTTTAGCTATACATAAAGGTGTCGCTGCCTAGTGATTACGTTTTGAAAAGCGGACAAAATCGGATTGAAGCTATTGGCAAGACTACGTGATAAGCATCTATAGAAACGAAGAACACAACGCTATAAAAATAATGAAGTCGATGTACCGTCAACGATAGCAACAGCAGGATGCCATGTTGGCATGGCTGTAATAATCTGCTATATCTATATAATGGTTATCCTTTGCAGCAGGGAGGAAAGTAATCGCAAAGGATATCACGTTGCACTCCTGAGAAAAAGATTTCTGCGCAGTGTGGTAGAAAAGTAGCTCGCCAGAGGGCAAAGCACAAGTGGAAGTAGTAATGGGGCGGATAATGACAGGAGGGCTATGCTATAGTAAAGGTTAATCAGAAAAGAAGAACGTGTATGTATCATTTTGAACACTGCCGCCACCGAGCGAAAAAAAACGGATTTTATGGAAACAACGGCGACGGTGGTGACGAAAAGTATAACGACGAGACTAAGTCATAACATGCATTAGGTGCAGCAGGTCGGTGTACGCTTTGTATATTTCGGGTGTAGCGGGCGGATAGATAGGTACAAACTTCAGGGATACAATGATATATATATTCTTGTGCGCTTATACACCTCGTTTAGTAACAAAGTAGTATTGTGTGAATAAGATAGAGAAGCTGGTGCTTATGATCCAGTTCCTTTCGAAGGCGTAGAGGAGAAAATGAGCAGATGAACAAGAAAACCTATTATGAAAACGAGACCGAAAAAATTAAGCGTCAGTTTATCATAGCGTGCGATGAACTGCAGATATATGGATAAGACCCCGCACTACCGTACTGTCAATGTCAGTGAGTAGATTTTCCAAATAAAAATTTTTGCTCCTAGTGAAATTATAAACGCACGCAGCGTGCTAATTGCTTATTTTTAATACTTCAGTATAATATATACTTCAGTAGAGTTATATTTTTAGCACAATCGTGTCTGATGTCGCGTAATTTTCGATGACGATATGAAATGACATGAACTTCTGGAGAAATTGCGTTAGCATTCGAGCGCTTCGTAAAGGCTGCTCCTCTGAGAGCTCGTTCGACATCGTTTGTATTGGGAGGTTCATCTATTTACCATCATCTCTATCTTTTTCATGTGAAACTTTTCTAATCCTCATTCATTATCTAAATCATCCCCTGTTGGGATTAAACAGAACACGGCCTTTTGAGCCCGCCTTGAAGTATGCGTGATGTATTCTATTGCGGTTCGTGATACTGATTAATTTGCCAGCAATTGTCTAGCCGCCGTGAATTTATTTGATAGTGATAAAGTCCCTCTCGAACGTAATACTTGTTAAGAAAAGCGAATAAACGGACGGCGAAGACCGTCCTATTCGCAACGTCTCTATTTGAGTTTTCGATAGAATTAAAGGTAGGGATGCTAGGTGAAATGTAAATCAAGGCAATCCCTCTGCTTGCGGTGTATATTACCGGCCTAAATAACTCGAAGGCATCCTGTAGATTTCCTCGTCAATCGCTCAATTAGATACTTAAACGAGCCGAACGATCGCGTACATCCGCGGACCGTTAGACGCTGCTTCTGTCCAATAGGCGAATAGACCTCCCTTGTAGCCCTAGTAGGTAATGTTAACACTTAACGCTTACCAGCGGTCTGCGCTTTGTGTCAGGCCAGCCTTTTTCGCACAAAGTTCTATTTAGATTTGTTGAAATGTAGCTGATGCAAAACAACCTAATTATTGGTTACGTTAATTATTAAAGACATTTTTTTTGTTTTTTGAAATATATGTAGAGTTATTACTGCAGCCCGATGCTGCACCGGCTATTGCTGCGATATAAGATGCCGATGGAAAGGGCCGAATGACGGTGCCCTTTCCGTTCCGGGAACATCCGACATCTTCTATTTATTTATTAAAATTTTGTGGGAACTCCACTTGTGTAAGGCTCAGGCCGCCACAATGAAGCTTATGGTAAGTGTTTAGGTCACACAATACACATTTCTAGCGTTCAAATCTTTTTAAAAAAAAAAAAGTTTTACCTATCGTTTGCTAGGTTAAATTTCAGCGCTAAGGACGAAGGTCGGGTAGCACTCTCAATAATAGCGCGTTTCACGTTAGCTTCGGCGGGTGCCGTTATACACCATTCTGTAGGCAGGATCTCTAGTTAGCTAGGGTCGGATCCCAAAAAGTAGCAATAGCTAATTTTGATAATCGAGGCTAAAAGCACGCAGATCAGAAGAAAACGCCAACCGCATTTTCGCAGTTCTGTTATGAAGTGGCGGATATTATAGAATTGTTTTGAAGCCCTGAGTGTTATTGGAAAACAATTTAAAAACGATCAGCACCACGCATCCTGCTACCAATCCTCCATGACTCTGAAATTTTCTGATGCATCATGGCTGACCATTAGAGCAGCTGCTGATACTGTTACATTGTGACTAATCCCCCCTATTTTTTAATTGAGCTTGTGTTAAAAACTATATCGCACGACCGTACGTGTGAGCTTGCTGTCACAGGGCTTTTTCATCTGTTAATTACTTTATATTGAGATGGATACTCAGGTACTGTCAGGTATCGAGTATGATACACACACACGCACAAATCGCTATGTGTATATCTATTGATAAAGAGAGAAAGAAAACCATATTCGGCGATACAGAAATTGACAACGTGCACATGCAACGTACTAAATATGTTTTTTCGAGAGTTTTTTTTTTTTCGTACCTGTACGTCTCACTGCATCGGCTTCTTCGTCGTATCACTTGCGAGTTTTTACCAATAAAAAATTCAGCACAACCTCTAATCTTGAATATTGTTTCGTTTGTTTAAGTGGATCAGCATTAAATTGTCCAGTTAATATAGTCGAACGGCGTTATACGAACCTCCTTGCAGGTGTTGCAAACAATCGTTTTCGTGGTTTCAGCAGAGAAATCCTTGTTAGTTTTCGCAAACGGAGCGCGAACAGCCGGAGACAGCGGAGATTACTATGGAGACAGACGCAGTTCGCGCATGGCGGCCTTTCAGGCTCCAGTGCTGCCTACTCCGGTGCGTTCTAGTCGAGTCTATCTGCCGGGTCTGGTAACCCTTGCGTCACCTACCGCCCATCGAACTTATGCTTGCACCAATCCCCACAGAGTAACAACAGCTGGGCGACACCGCAACCAGCAACTATCCTCCAGTGTGGCATCGTTCCCGTTACTGCCTGTGCCTTCGGTGCCCAGAAGCACAGTTAGTTCCTATCAGCAGCTGCCGCTAGCAACTCAAAAAAGAATAGCTGTAGGCTCTTCTCCAGTGGGTCTGAAGCACGATTTAATAATAGTTAGTGACAGCAACAGCAACGGCGGAGGCGGCCGTTTAAACGGGAAACGGACGCCGGCGGGGTATCGTGCGGTGTCCCCTGCCACACTGACAGGGGCGGCCACCACCCCAAGCGAAAATGCTGCTGTCGGCGGCCGTCCGCCTTTCCAACGGATGACCGGTTATGTGAGGCTTCCGACTGCGGTTTCGCATCAGCGCAACCATCACAGCGCCACCGCTGCCGGTGAATATTATTGACAAACGTGTCCGTTAGGAAACAGTGATACAGTGATCAAACCCTACGGAAAGGGGATTTGATATATTGGCCTTATTATGGAACTTCCTTGCAAATTCATATCACGAACTAAATATACGTTTATATTGTCTGATGTAAATGTCGTACTGAAGATTTGGGTCGAAGTAAAATAAAGGAAACAGGTGGAAGCCATGACCTAAGCAGTGCTATTAATTTAACATACATAGGTTCCATTAATGTGCGTGCGCGTGGGATTGAAAATACTTATCGGCTGTGAGGTACCTTTCAAAGGAAGGTGCGGTAGGCTGAAGAAGAGAGTTCGTCCTTCTTACGATCTGCGGCAGGCGAAAGTCATGCGAATTCTAAAGTTGATCGACGCCGCTTATAAGTCTATTTTAAGAAATTTTATCTTCGACATGACTAGCCTGTTACGGATGATCTTAGGTAGGCACGTGATGAAAGGTAGATGATTTCCAAGCTGAAAAACCTTCTCTACGTTGTTTGTTCTTAGCTCTGGGTCTTCTTGCTACGAAAAATGTTTCGCGCTGTCAATACAAAACTCAAGGGCAGAAACAATCCAGCAAATGTGCCTGTTGTGAATGGAAGCAAATTTTCGATCAAGATAAATGTTGTATGTTCCAGAGTCTATTGTAGCATGCACGCGAAAGAGGAGTGGCTTCGTATTGGTGTGCAGCAAATGTTGCAAAAAAAAAAAAATGTTTATTTTATTAGCGCGTGCTAAACCTTCAGCATCTAAACAAGCTTCTTCTTCTTCTTCTTGTATCATTAAGATTCTCTGATGATGCGTACCCGTTTGTGAATAAAATCTTTTTCTATCCTTCATCAATCTAAGTGACAAACAAAATTGCTGGAATAGATCCATTCCACAGCTGTATGGTTTATTTTTATATTGGCAGTAAAGCACGCAACGTCTCATCCAGTTGTTAAAATAAACTTATGTTCCGAGGCATTTGAGCACTACTTACTTATTCGTTTAAAACACCTTTCAAAAAGAAGAACCCGCCCCGCAGAGAGAATGTAAAGGCAACCTTCCTTCTAAATTCCTTGATTCCTTCTAAATTCTCTAAGATCAAGTCTGAAATCTTCGTGCAACCTAGTCTATGCATCGACTGTAATGACGTGACTTTAATTTTTTTTTTAAGTTTTTATGAGGCCTGATTGAGATTTAGTGCGTTCGGATAGTTCCGATGAGTTACCTGTACAGGTTTACGATTTTCATTCGCATATTCTTTGTGGGGCTAAGTTTCGCATTAGGGTAACAATATCATTGAAGAACTAGATGAGATGGTTAGTGAGTGAGCTTCCGCCGATTGTCGATTTTCCGACAGTTAATTTATTGACGATGACGGGGACGGGGGCGGGGAAGGCGGCGTTGCGTTGCTGGTGGCGGTGGGAGTGGCGGAGATTGCGGCGACGGCGACGGGGGCGGGGGCACCGATGGCAGTCGCCTGTTTAGATACAGAGGGGTTCGGAGAAAGACGTTGCGAACCCAGTTCTACTGCTGTCTCAATATGACAAACAGGACGGTCAACGTTGCGTTTACCTGGAGGATAATTTTAAAATTTGAGGACCCAAATTTGAGGATAACCACCCTATTTTTAATATTAATCCAAACTTGTCTTCCGACGACTGTCGACTCTGTAGGTGTAGAATTGAGCCGTACTTCCGAAACAAGCTTTGTTACGTTATGCTCTATTGAACCATAACCAATCGGAAATGTTGCGAAGCTGATAATGTACTCTTGTAACTTTTCGTCGTGGCCGTCACCGGCATGTACTACCCATAGGGTGGGGCAAAGATTTCTCGACTGTTTGAGACTTTTCATCTTTGAATCAATTCAAATGGTACGAAAGTAAGATAGTGGCACTGACAGCGAAAAAAATCGCAAAAAGTTCTTTTCCCAGACGTGTATGTGTCGGCAATGAGCGATCGTCTCATAAAAAGGTAAATAACTTTGACCAACATCAACACAATATATGCCCGCACCGTTTTAGCGGCGCACGGAACCACCTATAAGCGCTCATCATTGCCATCGTCGACAAGATGAACGCTATTTCGACGCAGCTGCATTGGCTGCGGCATACTGCCCCTGCCACTGTTACCATCATAACAAAAAGATTCAGTATGGCTTTTTCCGGCATCTGACCGTCTTTCTTCACTAGTGCCCGAACGAAGCGCATTTCGTCCAAATTACTCGAAAGAAGAACTTCCATCGCACCACGCTTGGGCGTCTGTTTGTCGGTCAACATCAGCAGTAGCTATACAGGTAACGCTGCTACAGTCCTTATAAAAGTGAATAGGTCACCTTGGACGCGGCAGTGTCGTTAAGATCAGCTAACCTTATGATCGCAATTAGCTTAAAGCGAGCTTCACAGAACGAATGCTTAACTCAACGGTTTGTGTAAATCACTTATTCTACTGTTGTTCCAGCGGAAGCAAAGACTGTACTCTTCCTTTCGCAATGCCTCTTTTAGCCAAACGGCCCCGGTTCAAACGGTATTGAATCGTGTGTTACGAGCCTAGTAGCTATGTATGCACGAATCCATGCACAATAGCTATATTGCTTTCAACTAGTACACAGACACTAAGGTTAATAAGACAACTGTTTTTTATACGTGCACATTTTTTTTAAGTGTACTCTGCATGAAGAGGATAAAGGTAGCAGATGATTTTTCTAAATGTATATACAAATAGAAAATTTCTAGGTGCTTGTTAGTAAACATCGTTGTCGCTTGTCATTGCATACATGCTTGTCTTTTTAGTTAGGTGATAAAGTTACGCGCTAAAGTATAGCACTTTTTTCTTTTTCATTTCATAGCTAGTGGCTGAACTTCAGCCACTAGCTATGAAAGGTTTAACTTTTGTCGATACAGCATATATACCCCCTATTCCATACATCGAAGGCGCCCTAAAACACATCTGGATAAGTTTCGTACTTAGCCCGGAAATCTGAACCAGGACAAAATTGATTGTTTTTCAAAACATCGCTAAAAGAAAGCGCAAACTACAATTTAGATAGTATGGTGGTACAGTTAATGGTGTTTGTTGTGCCACTCGGTGGTGAAGAAGGTGAGGGTTGGCGTTTACCTTTTTGGCCCACCATGTGACATATCGCCTTGCAGAACTCGGCCTGTTTGTTCCGGGGTAATGATGCAGCCCAAACGTCTGCTTGCAAATCATGTGAAGTGGTCTAACCTTGCCACGTTTCTACTTTTCATAAACATCCGAGGCCATAGCGAGCTGTCCGTTCTCTAGGATTATATCGAGTGTCCTTTGTTGCTACCTCTCTGAGGCTTGCTCTTTCCAACCGCACCAAATTCTGTGGACACTCGTCAACTATTTGAGATTAATAAGCATTTCAGGAAGTAGCGAGTCCGAAAAATAGCGCGCTACCTCTTACTATACATGAAGTAGCAATTTATTGTCAAACGGCTGGAACAAAAGCGACCAATAGTTAACCTATTGTCCTATATAACGAAGGCATGTATTAAAAATATTTTCGCAGAAATATTTGCACCACGGTACTCCTCGGTTCAAGTTCCTGATGCACGGACTTTGAGAGAGTCTAAGTGCGTTGGGCTGCGACCATTGTCAGGTGCAACGTTTTCTTTAAACCAATTGACGTTCTAATACTCTTAGTGCATGGCGTAGTTACGTTTCGTCAGCTATCGTTAATCATTCACTATCCTATATCACATATCACTATAAGTGTAGACTCAATGAAAGTGCAAACGAGCGACCAGCCCCTATCGTCACAGTTCTATAGCCATCTCGTAGGATTTACATAACCATACTGTTTGAGTAAGCTCAATCGATTCATTGACACCTATGCATGTATTGAAAGGACACAGTTTTTTTGATGTCTAGCAGCTGCACAGTGGCTTCACACAACGCAAACCTGAGGATTTCCGCTCTACAGCACTTCAACAGGCGAACGAAGTGCTGCCTTTCGCTAGTGATCGAGATGACTTTTGGCAGAAAGAACGACACCGTACCGCCTTTCTAACGCTTTACTTTGGCCAAAGTGATGTTTTGCCTTTCTAATTTCATTGCGAGCGTAAAGCTATTGCTTCAATGGCAAATTGTTGGCGGGAATTTTTGAGTGCGTAGTTTAGTATTTGATATAATGTTTTTATGGTCGCAGTGATGTGATTTTCGAACGGATACGACGTGTAGACCTTTTCTCATCGATTTCAGCAAACAAAATAAGGTACGTAATAATCCATAGGGAATGATGAGGATATTTGACAGGATCTCCTGAGACGATCACAGTACGGCGGCAACAAAATACGCGGCTGTTAGACGGATAGCTGTTTAGTTATTACTTGCTTTTCGTGATACGTCGATCTATATACAGTGGTTTCATGGGTAACTGTCACTTAAAGAAAATGATGCTGAACACGTTTTGCGAATTTTAATAACAGCACTCTATTTCATATGCCCTGATTGACTTCTGACGGTCGTGTAGCTGATAAATGAATTACTATCATGGGTGGGCCAAGGTCCTAAATAATAGGCGACATATTTTCCTCTTAAGCCTGTCCACCCGTTAGCACTCTTAAGCCCCGTTAGCACCCGTTAGGTAGCAGCTACCCCTACTACAACCGATACATATTGTTACCACGATCCTGGCTTACCGCAGCCTCCGTCGTGATACATCGCAAACGGCGATCTTGACAGCAATATTACGGAACGGTGAAAGCAATTTCGGGTGTGCTTATGCGCGCAAGAGTCCAACAATTGCCGAGCTTAATGGCAAACCTAATTAAGCCTCTGCTATTTTAACTCTGTATAGTAGCTGATAGGTGAACATGCTGTTTAGATTCTAATTATTTACTCTGAATTAAAGTTTCACTTAGAAATGGCATTGAGCATTTCATCAGACGGTTTCGTTAGATTACAAAGCTTGGTCGCTCTGTACTTCTCCCGTAAAGCAAGCCCATACGTGGCCGCTGGGTCACAATGATACAAATTAACACTCTGTTATAATTTTCTAGATTAATTAACCTACAGAAACTTGTGATGCTTTATATATTACATTGACTATCGGGGAAAAGTTTTCAATTGCGTCATCGACTTCATTCGAGTCGAGTGCTCTCTAAGTATTTCATACGCAGAACGATTCAAGAAACTCGCTACACCATAACAAGAAATATGACGATAAAAATATAAAAACAAATTGCAGGACTTCAAAAATTTGAAACGAGTAAAAATGTATAGCGGGCCTATGGAGGAGCTTCCGTCCCGCAGCGCGTTAAAACAAGGCGAAGTACCATTAAATTCACAAGTAAGTACTAAACATTGACTGTCTTGGTGACAGGCCGACATTTTTTCGTGCTGCTTTCCCCTACCTTCTAAATGGAGGATGAATTATATGTGCTTTCGACATGGGCAATTGTTACCTTCCCCCCCCCCCCCCACTCTCTCTTTTTCGATTAAACACGTTTGATCATGATATCAGCCTTAGTACACCATAGCCCAGCCATTATAGCCTATGGCTGAAGTATCGATGTTGAAAAGTCAGACCGTTTGAGAAAATGTACTGACGATAAGTGTAGCCCCAAACAGCCAGAGGGGTTATGATACCAACTAATTTTCTTGTTTAACCATTCAAGCTGAAAAACGGGTAAAAAAACAGGCACTTCGGATCAAGAGATTTCAGAGACTGACTCATACCAGTTATATATTCAGATCCCGCTGAACAAAGGGATTTTATATGAACAAGTATCAAGTGCACCGATTCACAACTATTTTCATAGAGTGTAATCATATGGAAAGACATGTGAAATAATAATAATAGTCGAAACAGGTAGTATGCTAGTTACGAAACGGCTAGTTGAAACAAACTTTGCCTAGTTGTCCATTGTAGCAGACGTTCGTTCCTCTGTTTTTCTTCGTATCCGAAAAAAGTCAGTTTTTTTCTAGAAAAAAAAAAACAACAAGCCTATTATGGCAAAAATCGATGTGTCGTATACGGAGTTTGAGCGATGATCCAATCCCACCCCCTGGATAAATCCCTGCCAAAATTACCGAAAACGACAGAGTACGTCAGTGCTAGCCTTTATGTGGCGTCTGAAAAATATGGAAAATGCTTTCATGAGACAACCAAAAAATGGTCAATAAGGTTAAGATTTGAAAGGCTTGAAATAGCTTAAAGAGCCATTGCCAATACAGATAGGTTTTAGTAGGTTTTTGAACGGCCATTTTATAGATAGAGAATATCAACTGCCAATTAGATTGTCTCAAGGAGTTCCAACTCATAGCTTTTTTTTTTTCGACATTTTAGGCCTTTTTGTACCTTTATAGCATTTTGGCCGTTTGGGCCTTTGTATTTTTAGGACTCTGCTGACTTGCTATCAGTCCAAAATTTAACTTTTTTTTTTTTATATGCAGCATGTATGAGCGACATTTTAAAGAGGGGACACTTATTAATATCGCTCGACACACGGTCACCATTAAAAGTTATTTGCACGTTAAGGACATGGAATATTTTGAAAATGGCCAATTGACGGGTTACGTCTAGAATCTAGCTAGGCAGCAGTTGTATTAAATAAACAAAACCATTAGAAAGCATTCAAATACCTGTTTTCGTTTAGAACACGCTTGGAAAGGACTCAAAAGAAGTATCCATATATATATGCCCCAGTCTGTATGTGTGTATATATAAGTATGAGTCTCGCTGACAGCACATAGCGTACAAGTTGTTAAAATTACGTTGTACAAGTTGTACGCTAGTAACTTATGTTTAGCTTAAAGGGAAATAAATTTGAAAAAAACCGACCTAGTTTATTCTTCGCCTGGCCAATAGCCGCTGAGTCAATGATCATTAGCAGTTATAGAATAGTTATTGATAGACATCGAAAAAGCCGCAAGTTGATTCATCCGTGCGTGTAACAAAACTTATCGCATGTTAAAACAAAACAGCTTTAACATGCGGTAAGTTTTGTTCGGCGCAGAATTTTCTAATTAGATTTATAGTTTACCTTAATAACGTAAAGAGTCCCTTGAATACACATATATGCGGTTAGTTGTATTTTGGGAAACCTGGTTAAGAAACGATCAATAAATTTAAATATTTACAAATTGGTGCGTGTTTGCCGCCTCTATCTGTCTATGCTATTCCTCGTGGAGTCCATCTTTAGGCCTGTCCAGAGCAGCGAGCCTCGTGGTGGTCGCTTCTGTCCTTCAGCTGGACAAATTCTATTATGGAAAAAGGTGTTAGTCAACAATTGACGCTCGAGTCCCTTTGGGACCTTCAACAGCAAAATCAAACTCTTCCTATTGAAACAGCTTTTCAGCTGCACCTTAATAAAAAACTCGCTGACATTAAAAAGTAAGTAATACTTCAAAATTCGATTTCCGTATAATACTTGATACGAAATTTCTAATGATTCAGTATGTTTCATTTGTTAGTTATACTGCAGTTTTATGTTAAAGTTCTGAGGAAATTATTGATAATTGCCAGAAACTAGTGACACGGTAGGTAATAAAAGGCACAATAAGAATTTCGTTTTCTAGCCTAGAAATGGTTCATGGCCAATATCACATGGGCTTTCATGAGGTACATGCTAAGAAGAAGACTATGTGGTATCTTAATTCCTTACAAATCAAACGTATTTTGTAGTACTTTAGATACATTTAAATCACTGTATCTTCTTTTCTTCCCGAGAATTTATTTCATTCCCTAGCGGTTGCTACGGATGTCTTTGTTCCATCTAGAAATAGGCTCTGATAATGCGTCTCAAAAGTAAACAAGTTCCATACTGTATGATTATTTTATAAAAAAGAAAAACTACTATAAGTGATGATTACGGTGATTGATTGCAATTCTGTAATTATACATGTTGTTTTGTACGCGTGTCTTAGCGGAATTTTTCTGGGTGTCGTATTTGTTGTTGTAATTTTGCAGGGAAAGTGTCGACAAGGTGGCAGTACCGAGTAACGGCAGTACAGAGGCGGGTCAGAGAGAGGCCTATAAAACTGGGTTTGGTGGCCTTGTGGGTCAAGCTTTATTCGCCACATTCTGGACCACATTTGCTCTAGGTTCAATCTGTCTTTTTGCTGCGGACTTGTTGGGTTCCCTCGGTGAGAACTAGGAATGTTTACGCTGTTTACGTTTGCTTGAACAGGAACAGCAACGTATTGTCAGTGTCGCCCAAAAACGCATCGAACTTAAATTATTCTTACTTTTTCTGTTGTACGTGGCGTCGAGCTAGATTTTGTTTGCTGTCGTCTTTTTCCAGGGCAATCAGTGAAGCACGTAAACAACGGAAGATGAGAAAAGTATTATGCTTAAAATTCATTAAGTTTAGGTTAATGTTATCTACTTTTTAACTATTAATCTTGCGTGTGTTCTATATCCAGTAAGATCTGCATTCACGTTGCCTTAAATTTTATGAATTTTATCGGTAAAATAAACGCCTTCGTCACTTTTCGAGAACTCTGCGGCTCCTAAGGCGCTTTTTCTTGTGTTTTGAAGACTGGAATGTGATTCATGGTACCTGTAATTGGTGATTGTCTTAATAACTCAATATAGGAAAAAGCGCCGTTCCTCTATCTACCTCAGAAAAAGGGCTATCTACAACTGTAGCATCCTACACAGTCGATAATCGTAATTGTTCAACCAGGAGACACCAATGTTTAAAGCATTGCTCTTCATTAATATAACACAAAACATTCTGATATGAAACGAACGGCATAAGAACAAATCACAAAAAAAAACTGAGATGCCTTGTTCGTGGCCCCGTGTAGTACCCCTCTGAATTCGCACAGCTGTTTCTGTCATCCCGAACGTCGGTATTGATTTTCAATATTACGGTTATTATTATTATTATTTAGTACTACTACTACTACTATTATATCATAATGCTGCTTTTGCTAACAGCGTAGTTTTTCTTAAATACATAACAGTTTTTTCTTAAATGCAAACAGCTTTAAATTTAATTATACAGTGTGCATAGACCAGTGCCTGCACTTTGATCTAAGCCTTTGATCTCCCATTCCCAGTGGGTTGAAGACCCCAAACCATATAAAGGCTCCTAATTGGTAGCTAAATTGTCCATTTATTCTATTATATATAGTACTAAAGAATTTGCGGTTTGTTTTTATTTATTATTGTTATTCAGGTCCCGTGTTGCTGAAGAAGTTCATCGGAGTGTTGCGCCAAAATGTGGGTCGAACGGCGTACGATGCCCAAAACCGACTACATTTAGGGGGATTTTATGCGTTTAGTTTATTAGGCACACAATTGGCTTACGTATTTACAAGTCAAATGCACTATCATCTTCTACACTCATTAGGTAAGTAACATTTCAACATACCTTTATTACCTTTGCAATTACTTCGTGATAATAATTTAAGTTATAATCGACAGCAGCCTACTTGCTTTTGCCACGGGTACGTAAAATCTGCTTGGAGAATTGGATTAAAGGAATTTGCTGTACAGGTAACTTAAACAAATTTTGGCCCAGGTTTCGCTTGCCTATAGGGGGTAAATGAGATCATTTAACGCACTAATTAAGCAGGCGACTTGAGTCTGAATAGTAACTCGAAGTGGACTAGATTCTACTCAGCGTGTTATACATACGTGAGGAATCCATGGGTCTTCAACACGTATACATCCATTGATCTATCAATTAAAAATCTACAAGTGGGTAAATCTATATCATGCAAGTGTCTTCAGGAACGTGTAGGCATGTTCATCTAAAGTTTTTTGTGTGTCGTCGGTACTGAAACGCGGGCTAAAATGCCCATCCTGAATATTGCAGCGATGCGTGTGCGAACGGCGATTATTTCTGCAGTTTACCGAAAGTCGTTACGGCTCTCAGCAGCTTCACGACAACGCTTCAGCGCTGGCGAGATGGTTCGTATCAGTATTCCCTTTCTTTATGAATTCTGGTAAAATGATTGATTGTCACTTTCGGACTTGGAGCCATTTGATGCCAGCAGTGATCGAAAATAATTAATCAATAAGTAAATTATAAAAATGACTGCTGTGAATGTCGTCTTTAGTACACACCGCACAGGTACTATAAACCTATAGCCTATAATAACTAAAGCGATCTAGTCCACTGGCGGCAAGAGTCACTTATATTAATACGTTATGAAGCTAAAGCGTAAATTTATGATTCGTAACCGTGACTCAATTTTTCGCGACTGTTTGTGCGTTTTCGATGAATCAAAACGAACGACTATGAATACAGGTAAGCCTTGCGTCATCAGATGCGCGTAGCCTCATGGTCGTTACGCGCACGGTGCCGCTGCTGTGGTCGGTACCTCTGCAGGTTGTAGTGGCCTTTATTCTAATCAGAGCAGAGGCCGGGCCATCAGCTGCCTGCGCCGGCCTTATAGCCATGGCCGCCCTGATTCCGTTAAGCTCGTGGCTTGCTGCCCTTCAAAAGGCCACCCAGGCATGTATCATTTTGTTGTCAATTCAAAGTTTCACTGTGCTTTAATTTATCTGAAGCTCTACACCTGTTCCTTTTCAATAAAATAATCGAATATATGTAGGTCAGTTACGTACTTGCCTATGAATTAGATGTGCCTAAGTAAAAGCCCAACTAATAGCACATCCATATCGATGTGACATACAGTTGGTGTTTGATGTACTTCAAATTTTTCGAAAGCATTTGCCGACGCCTCTTGTTACCACGGATCATTTCCTTCGGTAGAATATGCTAATCAAAAATAAGCTAGGTCCTTTTATGTATATGGTCACGCGTTTATACGGATCGTTCTTTCTCTCGGTGGGAACAGGCTTCTCAGATGATCACAAGGGATAGCCGGATCAAGGTGATGTCTGAAATCATTGGCGGCATAAAGGTCCTTAAACTACACGGATGGGAGCTGGGATTTAAAAATGTCGTAAGCAACATTCGCGATCGTGAACTAGAAAAGTTATCGAAGCTCGCTGAATTCGAATCGTATTTAACGCTCGTGTGGTTCATCGCACCGTTTATGGTATGTTAAGACCATAAAACGCTTTTTATAGATATACATATATGTATTTATAGTATCAGATAATGTATTTAACACAAAATTAAAGAAATATGGATTCAAAGATAGCACATTTCTGAGCAGTTAAATGCTAGCTCATTGTCATGCCGCTATTGCCGCGCGTGAAGGTTTCCCTAGTGACGTTCACAGCCTACGCGCTGATGCGGCCATCCAAAGAGTCTCTTGGACTCGAGCAGGCCCTCATGTGCCTAGCGCTCATCCAGCAGTTACGTGCCCCTCTCCAACAACTTCCGCAAGTTCTATCGTCGCTCGGGCAGGTTTCGGTATCGATTAGGAGACTCGACATGTTTTTCACCGCAGAAGAAATTGAGGATTACATCTCAAATGGTATGCCTTTACTGACTCGATAAACGTGATAGGAACTCGTTAACTAGTGAGAGGGTTATATCCAGACGATGCCGCTTCATAAAAATTTACTTATTTTTGCTTATTGCGCAGTCAAATTTGTGACAAAAACATTAAGCCGAATTGATGAATTGTTCGTTATATATATATATATATGAGAGAGAGAGAGAGAGAGAGAGAGAGAGAGAGAGAGAGAGAGAGCGTACAAAAGTGTGCATCGTAAAGGTTCGTTTATTCCACATAGCCTATTAAGTAAACGCACAAGAACGATGGTCCGTATACTAAGTTATACTAGATTATGCTGAATATTTATGAAGAAAAAGTTGTGCGATTGATACTTGTCGCATGTGCAAAATAATTAACAGATGACGATCCGAACGCTGCGATTCGTTTTGAGAACGCGACATTTCATTGGGGTAGCCCTCCACCAGCAAAACGAGATACGGCAGCAGAATTAAAACGCCTGAATATAAGATCCAGCAGAGGGGAAGTTAAGGGAACTATTGAGACCCAACAGAACGTTGTGACTCTAGGACCCTTTAACTTCAATGTTCCTCACGGTGAGCTATTGGCAATCGTCGGTCGCGTAGCCCAGGGAAAGAGCTCCCTTTTGGCTGCCCTACTCGGGGAGCTACAAAAGGTTAGTGAACAGCGCCATTGCGTGATGCGATTTTACCTACGTCGACACGTCCTGAGCTGTTAGTCCTTTCCTACGCGCAATAACTTTCAACGCAACAAGAATTTTATGAGATATGTTCTATTGTTTTAAATTGATATAACTAATATTGTAGTTACATTCTGATTCTTATATCAAATTATACACAACTGGGTGTGCCTTGTCCCTGTGCTTAGTTAGCCAATACTGTTAATTGTTTGTACCGATTAATGATACTGCGAAACAAGATTTACTCGAACGAAAAACCCACAAAAACGTTTCGGCTCTCTAAGCACGGTGCTACAGACACTAAGTACAGTCCATGAATAGCTCTCGAGATATTCTCGTATATTCTGCTATCTCTGACGTATATTTTAATGAAAAAAAAAAAAACTATTTTCCACAATACGATATATCGTAGAAGCGTTATTTTTTGACAGTTTTATGTCCTCAGCCGTATTCCAGAGCGACTGTTATGTACGCAAAATGTTTATATGACAGCAAGATTTGAATAAAGAAAACAAACTAAGCTTATCAGTTATAATAGGGGGGCTGCAAGAGAGGGGCCTCGGTGACAGACATTTCAGACGTCCTGAACTTCAGGAACAACGTGCTGAATATCCATCTCGAGCCCACTGGGCGTGCTATACAGTGGATAATTTCTTGACGAATTCAACATAAAAAAAGCATGGCAAAAAACAACAACACTGCCTCCAAAAGTTGCCGGATATAGCCAAACGTGTATCGAATCTATGAAATCTCTTAAAAAATCTACACATGAGCCCTAGCTGATATCTGCACGATCTAGCACTGGACTGCCTAAATCTTCCTGACTGACGAACCGCGGTTGAACGCAACACTGTTCCGTAGCAGCGATGGCGCTGGTCGTAGTAGTCGTCTTATTATCAGTATTGGCAATACATGCATTATGGCTGTGCGTCTACGTATCCAAACACGAAAACAATAGCTTATGACGGTTCGAAACAAGAGAAACATTCATATTGCATAACGTACTGCTAGTGAAGTAAACTTTTAATTAATAACGACGCAGCTATCGGGCAAGGTAAATGTATCCGGCCGAGTGGCGTTTGTACCGCAAGCGGCGTGGTTACGCAGTGGCACCCTTAAAGATAACATTCTGTTTGGGAAACCGCTCAATGAAACCAGGTATGTATTAGACGTCATAAAGCAAGCTATTGCATTCATATATACTAGTCACTGAATAAATGAAGTAAAAGTGGTTTTCATTTTTAGTCATGGTATTTTCATTTAAGCTTGAGGAAGAAAATAATACTTACTCTGTCAGTTTTTTTGGTCGATTACGTCGAATAGTACGGCCGTACAAGGCCAGGTCCCATTAAAACTTCGAAACACTTCGACTGTCAAAGGTCAAGTCAGTGACAAACAGATCTGTTACTATTAATCTCTTGCAATTCAAACAGCAACAAGTACTACGACACCCCGTTCACAGTTTAACCGCTGTATGCGTATTTTTACACCAAATGTTATAGGTACCGGGATGTGCTGCGTAGATGTGCTTTGTTAGAAGACCTGAAGGTTTTACCCGCTGGAGACATGACATATTTAGGTAATGCGGGCATTGGCTTATCCGGTGGCCAAAAACAGCGAATATCATTGGCCCGAGCTATCTACGCAGGAGCTGAGATTTACTTGTTTGACGATCCGTTAGCAGCAGTTGATCCTCAAGTTGGTAAACACATTTTCGAGCATGTAAGTGTGATTTGATTCTGCTGCAATAGCAGTACGCTTGTCAACCTTACATATATTATTGTGGGTATTGGAAGTGAGTAGGATCTGCTTGCTGCATACTACGCCCGTATTATTGTAAATCTTCTCTTTGTAGAGTATATGTAGATCTTGAAGCTAGCAACAATTTCCGCTCTGTTACAAGTTAACTTTAAGCCAGGTGTCTAGTAGTATTGCGAGACTATTAAGTCTTTGTACAGTCACAGACGCTACGAAGACCCTTGTTGCGTTTAGCAGTCCCTTGTTCTAAGCTTTACTCTGTTCGCACCTTCTACAAACAAGCTCATTTCCAGAAGTAGAACCTTTATTTCGAAAATGAAAGACAGATTAATTTCGAATAACTTCGTATGGTGCACTATGTATTCCTCCTCCCAGATGATTATACATCGTTCGTACTTGCATGCGTTTGAGGAAGCGTATGTTCGAACATGTTTCTTCATAGCTGAGTATTAATATTTATGCCTTATTCGAATAAAGGTGATTAGTGATAAGGGCATTCTCGCTGGTTCTACTCGGGTAATTGTCACGCAAGCGGTCCAGTTTCTCTCACGAATGCACAAAGTTGCTGTTATCGATGGCGGTCAAATCATTCAGCATGGACCTTACGCGGAACTTCTCGCTAATCGTGAAGGTATTGCTTATAACAATACTCGAAAGGCTCAAAGGTAGTATTCATTACCCTGAAGTGCGCGTTGATTATCGTTTATAAGCCAAATGGCCTTTCCGTAAAGTGCGCCTGATACATCAGTGTGTGATTTGAAATCGACTAGCATAGGCAGTAGTTTGCTAAGTTACAAAAAAGAAAACACTTCGGGTCTGTGTTCGTTTGTAGGGTTCGAGTAACTAGGTGACTAAAACTTTTGTTCTGTGCAAAATAGTACGTACATATCCTCTTATTAGGATATGTTTCACTTAGCGGGATCAGAACTAGCGGTCCCTGTGCAAATCGTCATCTGTTCGTGAATATTTGTGCTGTAGCATCGGTCTCGGGGCAGCTGGGCCACACACTACATAGTCCCACATAATAGTACCTTAGGAAGGACCTGTTTGCCTCTAATATTCCAGCGCGATTTCGGGCTCTGTTGAGGCGAATTAGCGAACAGGGCGAGCGAGAAAGGGAGATACAGTTGTTAGAAGAAAAGTTTTCCTCGCCTAAAAAAATTGTCGTTCCACTCGATCCGCGATTGTCGATAACAAGCGATGAGAATGATCCAGACGCGAACATACGTGTGCTGAGTGAGTTTATCGCTTTGGATTCGACGACGAGGCTGACAACTCGAGAGTGCGTTCAGATTAAAGAGCGTCCGCATATCATCAGGGAATACCTAGCCCACACCGGGAGCGCACCCTTTGTTTGGGCAGTACTAGCTTTGGTGGCGTCCGCCGCATTTGAGATGGGGTCCACTTCCTGGATATCAAATTGGAACAATCGTCCCTATTTACAACAGTCGGGTAATAACTTTTTTTTTTGTGCTTCAACTTTGTCCTGCAAGTTTACCTGGCTCCTTTATTGGAATAGGCCAAACAAACTAAGAACTGTTGCGTTTGCAGCATCACCCGCAAGTATTTGAAACAGGTCGTCATTACTACTTGAGCGAACAGCATATCTGACATATGGTTGCTTTATTTTTGACAAAGTGAGTAGCCAGATCTTCTTGGTTTTTTGATTGGCTTTAACGCAGTGTGTGTTTGTGCGGGTTACTACGAGTTAGACATTGTCGAAAACTTAGTGTTTTTGCTTGTGTTTGTTAATTGCGGCTTTGACTGAACTGTCCCCACTTGAAACTTGCAGGTTGGACCCTGCGCTTAGCCGGCTATTCACTCCTGGGAGCGCTACAAGGAGTTTGTCTCAATTTGGGAACGAAGTTCATTGCCAAGTCGGGTCTTCGCGCAGCCCGAACGTTACATGATAGCATTCTCCATAAGGTCCTGCATGCCCCATTTTATTTTTTCGATGTCACTCCTGCCTGCCGGGTGCTAAGCAGGTATGTTATGCGAATAACACCTATGTATTAACATTACACAATGTTCAGCCTGTTGTAGGAATACAAGTGGTACATTTAACCGAACCCGACAAAAAAACAACCTGATTAATGTCCTAGCAAGGAAAGTCGGAATGGAAACCTTAAAATCGTAATACTAACTTAACTTGTCTGCTTATTATTAATACAGTGTGCATTACGGCTGTATACCGACGAGCGACGTTCTATCAACTGTGTCTATTTAATAAAGAGTTTAAATTGAGCTCAAAGCAAAAACGGTTTTTCGTATAAGAATGTCGCAACTTTCTTATTCCGCTGGGTGCGGAAATGTCAGCAATGATAATCGTGTTGAAAGAATGTATGAAACAACACGTGCACCGGATGGCGGCGAGCATAATAACAGCACGTCTTGCGCGTTTCTGCGTTCATAAGGTACACACAAAGGTTTCGTAGGTTTACAGGCCACTGACGCAAAAGGCCAAATAACCAATAAGCGATTTATCGTTCCGCAACGTGAGCCTGTTCCGCGCAAGTTTCGACGGGGGACTGATGAAGGCTCAGCTATACCGTAAGCCTGGATAACCCCCCGTAATAACATGTCACGAATGACAAAAGTGAAGTGATTTAAGGCTTTTACAAGGCATAGAGACTGAGAGTCAGCCGCAAGTTAAGCAGTGTCGCTAAACGGCTAAATGACTTTGAATTGAAAACACCTTTAATTTGTACAGAGGTAGTGTGTGTATCTAGAACAAGAATATATGTCACACAAAATATTGCATACACTTAACCAAGCAGAAAAACAAATAAAACCGCATGCACAGTTGTTAGTTATAGGTTTTCTCTCTTAATTACTTCAGGAACCATATGTAAGTACGCTTGCTAAAAAAGAATAGTTATGTTGAACTCAGGATCCACCTTATACAGTAACGAGGCTATTCAGGTGTTCAGTTCTCAGGTACCGATCTCGTCGATAATTGTGTCCTAATGAACGTATATAACGTGGCCAGATTCATCGCTTCTGATATGAAATGTCGATCACGCGCTTTCAGGTTTGCTGGTGATTTGGAAGATGTAGAACTATCGTTGTTCCAGTGTTTACGCGAATGGTTGCAATGCTTTCTACAGTTGTTAGTGATTTTCACCGTCATATGCATCAAGGTTCCCCTGTTCGGTATTCTGATAATCCCGCTCGGTATTGTATACTACAGAATACAGGTAGGTGTTGCCCCCGAATCGTTATCGCAGACGGCCACTAGATTTGCTACGATTCCTCTACTCGAAGTATAAGCACAAAAGTTCTCTATGTATTTTATGGCTGTTGAGTACTGCCATCAGCTCTGCAGTTGCGTGAAACTGGTTCAGGAAGATCATGTATACCGTTAGTGATACGCCGTCCTCTATGGCAGTATTATCAATTGCTGCATGATATACTGCATGGTATCCAAAGAATACGCAAGTGGGAAACGATATGCACAAAGTAGGACAGTCGACATGTTGCTTCCCTTATATTTTGTTTGCTTGCGAAACGAAGTAAAAAGCGTCCTTTATTTTTTCATTGTTAATTTTAATAGCGTACCTATTTGCCCACGTCGTCGCGATTGCGTAACTTGGAAATCAGTACACGAACTCCAATTTTAACCCACCTTAGTGAGACCATACAAGGGGTTACGGTGATTCGCGCTTTTAGGGCTCAAGATATGTGTACAAAGCAGATACGCTATCTCGTTGATGAAAACAATAGATGCTATTACCCATATCTCTGTGCTAACAGGTAAGAACAATGGAGTGCACCTATAGCGTTTGTTGACTGTTGATAATTCTGGCCCGAATGAAATCTTCCTCGATGTGTGCCCTCGTTAATTAGTTTGATTGACTATAATTGATTAGTTTTTTCATGGAATAACTAAGCGGTACAACTCTGACGTTTGCAACATCGTTTTAATACACTGCTTGCAAAAAGAACTTAAGGTAAAATAAATCATTTCGTTTACTATTCTCATTATTATACGCCTATTAATGCTAAATTAGTTGGACGTTGATATTTCTCTACCAAAGTAAAGAAACAGTAGTCTTTCGTGTATTGCTAGCGTTTTTTTTTTCAGTACGACGAAAAGTTATATACTATTTTTATATTTCGTAGTTTGTGTGCGGTCCGTATCGATTCGCTATTATATAAGACTAAGCTTATTTGTTTTCAGATGGTTGGGGGTCCGCTTGGAGAGCCTCACAACGTTCGTCCTCTTTGGTACAGCATTATTAATATTATTCGGCGGAAACCTAATAACGCCGGGCGCTGCAGGACTCTGTCTTTCGCAGGCGCTTCGGCTTGCTGGTACCTTTGGCGTCCTTGTCCGTGTGACAGCATCTGTCACCGTAGCCTTGCTAAGTCTCAATCGGCTTCTTCAGTACTTGTACTTACCTGGCGAGGTAAGTTATAGTGTTGCTCTCATGCGTAAGACGTACATGCATATAAGCTACAGCGCAGGCACTTGTCACTTGGCCAGATTGCCGGCGGAGGAAGGTAATTTTGGAATTGTCGGCGGAGGTCGTTCGAATAGTGTATTATTTATGTTGTTTCTTTTTTCACTGATGAACTTCTCTGATCCGTTTATGAACGATTAGAAGTCATATTCAAAGTATCGTCGTTGCTGTGCACCACTGAAAGCAATCAAATTCGTTTAGTTGCCGAGTCACGCCAAACCGCCGGGGTATTGATGAAAAATATCGCCCGGATGGTTTTCAAATGGTAGGATAGAAGTGCGACGATGGATGTGGGAGCATAGGTTGTCCGAACACTAAGGATAGAGTTCTGATCAGGTGTTGAAGTTAGTGGAACGTCGTTAATAGTTAAAAATTGTATTGAATGATTTTTCTGCTAACACACATTATCTACAATTTTGTCTCATAATGGCAATCTCATAATGGCATCAATGTCGCAATTTTCAAAGAACACGACCTCTACCAGGTCAGGTCTAAGCAACGAAGATTACTAGGAATATGGCATTTATTTACACACAAAAAATAACAAAATAATGGCCTTTTTTTGGTTTTAATATGATCGTACATCATAAAGAAAAGGTGATTTCGCATTAAAAAATGAAAGCATTTTTGGCTGCTTTTCTAGGCAAATTGGGAAGAGGAGTCTGATGCATCAGTTCCGGAGAATTGGCCTTTGACGGGGACGGTCGAGTTCCATAGCTATTCCACTCGCTATAGACCCCAGCTACCTCTTGTCGGTGAGCAGTAGATCCGGATAAAGAATTAGATAGTCCCGTGCACGGCATAAATATGTACTGCAATAGCGTACGCGCCCAGTAAGTAAGACATTGTCGAGTCGAAACTGGGCCATTGGAAAGTGAGTCAATTCTGTTGCACCACTTATCAAGGATTCGCAAAATGGTATTACTGATTCGTATCTACAATGATACCATTAGAGCGAAATCATTTTTAATCAAGGGGCGCGGACGATGTTGTTTTTCGCTATTAGTTATGAAATGCCAGTAACATGGATATTTCAGTACTCCCATGTATTGCTTACTAGCTCAGTCAGACTACGTTTCGAGGAACGTTATTTGCTAACTATCACACCTAACCGGCTTGCGAAGGTCGATGGTATTACATGTTACGTCACCTATCGTCTTCATGAAGGCGCAAAACGAGTGGGCTCACGTCTGAAGATTATGGGGCCAAAGTTTCTTAAGCTTAATAGTAATATAGCTCTTCGATACAAGCATGACTAAAGGGTGTGTGTGAAGCCGTACGTTATCGCTAAGTAAACGTGTCGTTCATCGTCAGTATTTTATACCGCATAGAGGCTTTTCAGGAATTCGATATTTTTTTAGCAATGTTAACTGTTTTCTTTGCAGAGAAAGTCTCGTAATAACAAATAACAATGTCCACTACTAGTATGAATGTTAGCTTAAGCGAAAGTTTGTCTAGCGGTACCGATGTCGTTCTGTCTTCTGCTTTAAACCATACTTTGTCTGACGATTTTCTAGCAGCACGTGCTCCAATGTATTACATATTGGGTTGACAGATAACTCACCATCCAGGCTCTGGTTTGCTCACTGAGCACTAAATAATATTTTTATCTTCAGATTCATTATTCTCTTAAATGATCGTTAAAAATTTACCGAACTTTATCTAATGGTCTTGTACGTCGTTACTCGAACGAGTCTGCCTGCAAGATCACGGCTAATACATAACCATACAAATTGGGATTCGTAACTATAGAATCCTGGAGTATTCAATTCAAATTCAACAATTGCCTAGCTAACGAGCACTGGGGATTACAGCGTCTGCCTAAATGTAATTGTAGGGTTATAGTTAACCCCCAGATCTTCAAGAGGGGTTATAATTGGTATAATCTCATTAATTAAAGTGTGTTAATCCCTTAAGCATAATTCAGCGTGCTTGGACACTTATGCTTCATTGATTGAATGCTGTGTTTTCTTTAATTTTATTTGAGATTCGTATAGTTTCAAATTGTCCGCGTACAGCTCGTAACTGGCGGCAGTTTTCATTTCAGGCCAAAGAAAGGTATACAAAACAAAATAGAACAGTCCCAAACATACTACTTCGATCAATGAATTTTGCCTGAGACCACTTATCTTTTAGGTAATTTGTAATTCATGCGAGTGTGTAATTATCAGTATTTTGAATTTAATCTATTTATATAACAATATTTATATAATAGTAAATGGCGCACTTTGTCAAAGGTCTTATTGATAAGTGACTCCATATCGGAAACATCATGTACCCATGCTATACGAGATTGCCGACTGGAAAGGCTTAGGACATAACATTTTCACACCTTTTTACATTATTTCTCATTTCAAGGAACTGTGGCAACATACTGGAATATTCTTACAGGTTTTTTTTTTTTTCATTTCTCCACCAGCCCCTAAACTCGGAGCTAACCGAATAGGAACTATCGAAAACTCTATTTTTCTTTTGTTGACTAGTTTTACGCAACGATACAACCAACGTAAAATCTTTGTGCGTTCAGGGGATATTTACAGTTTCCCACAACTATTTGCAGTCTTATCGATTTTGGCGGCGACTTATGAGTCATTCAGTCAAACTCGAGCGAATTTCTTATTGAAGAAACTTGGATCCGTTCAGAAGAACTACAAAGCGAACGATCGCCGTAATGGCTGAATGAAAGGCTAACGCATTGAGTACTATACATTTGGCACTTTTCAATACGAGGGTGTGGAATAGCAGGTGGCCCATCTATTGTCGATTGAGGATTTTTCTTATGCATTGATTCTAATGCTCCTAGAATATCCTAGAAGTATATATTTAATATAACCGTTATCCACTTGTCTTACATCTTCGAGATGTAAACTGCTAACTTATCATTTTTAATGCATTCTTTCTTTAGCCTCTAGGTGGCTTTTTCCCGTAGTAATCGTGCGTTAAACGATGTAGTGGGTGTAAACTCGTTTGAGTATAACTCAAATACGGTACATATAGAAATTAAGTGCAATTCGGGTTGATAATCGGGTAAAAATGCCAAATACCCAAAGGCTTGAGACGAAAGCCACATAAAATAGTATCATTAGGTTTATGAGCAGACGAGCGAAAAGAATCGTTGTTCTTTTGTTATTTTAAAGGAGGTCGCGAAAAAGTATATAACTGAGTTATTTATGATTGTTAACCTAGAGCGCAAAGTTTGATGCCATAGTAATGTCGTAGAGCAACGCATTGGGGCATTCATCTTTGTTTCGTAGATTTTTCCCACACATTTTATCTTACCCATTTTTCCACATAAGAGCAATCTGCTGATGATTAATCATATAGGCGTGAGGCTGCAAACATATTCAAAAGAATATTTTTCAAATAATCATTAATGCAACTAAATACTCGAGTTTGAGTAGTATAAAAAAAAAAATTAGGTAAAACACACTAAGACCTGGACTTAAAAGTTTAGGAAAAACTTTTTAAAAACACTTTAGGAAAAAGTGTTCTAGTCATATATATATCCAAACTATCGATGATGAAGATGTATCATACAAGAGCTATTAAGTAAAACTTTTTGTTTGCTAAGTTAGTCGACTTTATTATGATAATATATAAAGTATAGTAGTAATAGTATTATAATTGTTGAACTGCTTTCGCAGTACCTCTCTTCTGAAGCAACAGTTGAATTGTCACTCATAGAAATGGGAGAAATGAGATGCACAACTCACCTTAAAATTTTTTCCTTAAAACTGCCATTGTTTTTGCGCAGTAAGTTGCTACTGGCAATTCTTTGAGTAATTTTATTGATATATAGCAGTATATTATTTCTTTTCCGGACTTTCATTGAAAGTTTTTCTGTAGAGTAACGTTAGTTTTTTTACGTGAATTGCGGCAGTATCATCATCGCACTCATTGTCATTCCGATGGCGTTCGCGGGCGCCTTTACCTTGAAGCCGGCCGCAAAATAGTGCTTAGCTGCTCCGCGTCCAGTCTAAAAACAAATATAAGATCAGCCGGGCGGTACTCTCTGAGCTGCTGGTGGCGAGTCCATCATGCTATATTGAAAGAAAACAGCATAGAAGCAACTTACGATGTCATACAACGTTAGAATTTATCATTACAAGGGCTGTTAGCCTTGCGCGAGGAACCTTTTCAAGGGGACGTTTGAAGAAAGGGAAGTTTTTAGGGATATATATTTACTGTATAATAGGACCTAGAAATAGGAAATCGCAAAATGAGAAAAAAGGGCCATTTGTGGTTACCATATTGATACTTTTCGAGCATAGGCCGTAATATATAACCGCATAGCCGTATAAATGAATTTATAACAACAATTACTTATATTTTGTGATCACTTTTTCCTTCTTCCTTCTAATTCCTTATGTTGGTGATTGGTTTTTTTCATTTACTGTTCTTCTGAGCAGTCAGCCGCCTTTCAGATATTTCAAAGTAGCTTTTGCGGCTTTAAGGTTAGTTTCTACGGATTGGAGCTATATGGTTCGTTTGAATTTGGCTTTTTAACACAGTTTAATCTGTTGAAATGGAGCACGGGTTCGCCAAGTTACGACCTTGAAAACTATGATTGTGGATATCGGGGTTTCAGGCGTACAGGCTACAAAAGTGTAATGAGTTTTAATTCTCAACCAACGGTTTTTTCTGAAAGATAAAGGACTTTTTTTATGAACGGTTTCAACGATATGTGCTAAGAAAGTCATTCCTAACGAGCGTATTCATTCGATATTATCCCGGTTCTCCGTGGCAATATTTTCGATTTGGGAGTTAGGTCATTCAATAGCCCTTTTTAAAATAGTCTGTCCTCAAGCTACAACAGTCGCTGTATATCAAGCGATATTGGTAAACGTGGGCTCAAGCTGTACCTCAAGGAATTGTACAGAAAAACTGCTGACGGTCCCGAACGCCAAAAGTTTAGTCCTCATCTTAACCATCCAATTGGCAATAGATACTCTAAAAATAGTAGAAAAATCCGGTGTCAAAAACCTAGACTTATGGCTTTTTTAGTGTGTTGATGGATTTTTGAGATTTTTCTTGGATTAAACCTTACCGATGGAAGCTGCCACAAATAGTGTTTAGGATAATAGAAACAAATAGTGTTTAACCATGGTGGGCATGCAACCAGCATCAAGGGGTTGAATTATAGCTCCTTTTCGGTCCGCCATGATTGGAACGAGTTTTCAATGGCGATTGTTGGAAAACTGTTCAGGTTCAAGTTTAGCATTGGGCATATTAGAAGTCTTCAGTTTTGCTTTTTTAGGGCAATTAAAGGGTAGCTTAAATGTTTCGACGTCTAGGTATAGTTCGGCAAATCCTGCTTTTTCATTTCCATTCAATTTGAAAATTTATACTTAACTTATGTTTGCCTTCCCGTTCGACAAACACTGGCTGCTTTTGTTGCAAATTTTCTCAAGTCAATATTATATTTTAATATACTGTAAAAGTTAACATACATTTAAAAACATTACCAAATGTCGACTTGACCACTTTGTGCCATATCTCTTTTTCTTCAAGCATTAATCTTACTTAGGATAATTATATCGTTATATATAGAGGTGCAATTGGCACGAATTCATTAGTGAGACTTCAAACTTGGAGACCTGTGTCCTATCCTAAGTTGGTCGCGCAATGCATCTTTGCGCGTTCTCTTTTTACCAAACCATATTTACGCACGCCTAATAAAACACCATCTATACAAGATGTTAACAAGTGTTACGTTTGATGATGTTCTTTTACAAAGTGCGAAGCATTTCGTTTCGTGCCGAGGCTGGCCTTCGAATAGGAGTTGTTGGAAGGACTGGAGCAGGCAAGAGCTCACTTGCTCTGGCGCTACTTCGAGCCCTCGAGGCTGTCGAGGGGCGAATTACAATCGACGGGGTAGATATTGCCTCGCTTGGGTTACACACTCTGAGGAAAAAAGTAAGTACAGCTCAACGATTTTTTTATCAAGGTTAACGTATGAGAGAGCATATACGATACTCTCTCATTTAGTACGTGTATTCAACTTAGCAGAAGGACAAACGATAATTTATTGTACTCGGTGAACTTGTCTTATTCTATGACATCCTTCGCTTACGTTTACGTCAGAAGAGATTGTCTTTCTTGGTGCTCACAGTTATATTCCGTATTGTTATTGTATATATTGAGCTAAGACTGCGATTCGAAAAAATCTGTTAGATTACGTTACAAAACGATATTTACACACGGCATTTTATATAATAGGGCCAAGTTAAATTATCGTGGAAGGCTAAACGTAGGGTACACCTGATTTAATCATTTTCAGATTTCTATCATTCCGCAAGATCCAGTTCTGTTTTCGGGATCGCTCCGCCTCAACCTCGATCCGTTTGGACATTATTCCAACGACGACCTGTGGAACACCCTTGAAAAATCTCACTTAGAAGACTTCGTACTAAAAAGTCCTTTAGGTAAATTCTGCTAGGTAAAACCGAGCTCGAAATTCGGTACCTTTATTTAGCTTTTTAGACCTAAGACTAGGTAGAGCTCTTTTTCTGAGAGCAGGCACAATGCTAGAAACCGTTCGACTAACTATCCAGAGTCAGAGTGGATAATGCATATTTGACGTCTATATAATTCAGTATGCCTCCTAATACACATTGCACAATCACAACCTCCTGAAGGATAGGACTGAACTTACTCGGTTCGACGAGGTCATGAAGAGAACAATAGTAATAGCAATATTTTTTGCCACAGTTGAGTTTAGCTCTCTATGTTGGCTAACTTAGTTATCTGCAGAAGTTCAAACCATTTCCTGAGTTCAGCTGTGGTAGGCTTGCGCAAATAGACAAAAACGTTCTCTCTCGAACGTGACTACCGCACGCGATTGACTTCCCTACAGGACTTGATATGGCGATAAGTGAGGGGGGTGGAAATTTATCCGTGGGCCAACGTCAACTGGTTTGCTTGGCAAGGGCTCTGCTCCGTCGATCGAAGGTTGTCATTTTCGATGAAGCGACAGCCTCCATCGATGACGAAACAGATCGCCGTATCCAGGAGGCGGTCAGAGAGGAGTTCGTCGGCAGCACTATCATAGCGATAGCCCACAGGCTTCATACTGTCGTTACTTACGATAGGTGAGATCCCACGAATATTATATCCATATAGATAATCATCGTATTAGTACTAGCTATCTACACATAGATTTGCATGGTGTGACGTGGTAATTAGTACTGTTGCTTATGGTTACAGCTATTCGAATTGTCATACACGTAGAGCTAATTAGAACGAGATGCAACACTGTGAATCCGCGGAATCGAGAACAGAAATTGAGCCTGAACATATCGAATTTACGCCCGATATTAGTAAATGAGAATTTACTCTATCTTGCTATATAAAGTTTTTTTTTGAAATTTAAAAAAAATTTCAAACGAGAATATCCGTCTGATCTAAGGTAGACGACGAGAGTAGTAAAACAATACCACGATCTAATTGGATTACTGTAGCAAGTTTAGCTAATGACTCAAGTTATGTCAAACAGGATAACTGGGTAGTTACGTCAAGAGAATTTCGGTTCTCTTAAAGTCGGTCACACTTAGCGGTGCCAGAGAATAAGCCGGATCCAGAGTAAGATCGGGAATAAAGTGGTGCCGTTTGATACGTTCGTCTTTTTTCAGGGAGTGTACAAAACTATGAGCTCGCAAGTGCTTGATTCTCAATGTTGTTCTTGTTGTTGCTATTGAACGGGCCTGTGTGTATGCACGTGCTCACGCATACGCGATGTATGCCAAGTACACACGGTTACTAGCCGCTTTGCTTCTAAACAAAATAACTATGGGACATTGACTAGTATATTTGCTATGTATATGCTTTGAAAAATTACAAAATTGTGTTTAAAAGGGGTTAGATTGCTATGTGTCGAAAGTCCTCAAGAGTCGAAAGCGTTTTTTATGGATGATAAATAAGAAAATTTGTACATTGAGCTAGGTGTTACACTTCTTTCATTTTTTCAGAATTCTAGTGCTGGACAAAGGAGAGGTCCGTGAGTTTGACGAGCCCAAGAAGCTTCTTGCAAATCGCTCATCTCTTCTTTTCACAATCTATAATGAATACAAGAAGAAATAAAAAAAATTTAGTAATTAATTATTACTATTCTTTTTTTAGTAATTAACATTTTGTCATCATTACTTAGGTTAAGTTTGGTCACTCCAGGTTGATTTGTGCCCTAATGATTGCGTTTTCTAATATGTAGTTTGTCGAAGGCTAAGTGCTGCTAGCGTTTACTCTTCACTTTACTTGTCCGGCTTGCAAAATCGTATCGTAAGTTTAGGCTTTACAAGAGATGTTTATGTTTTCTACCTTAAAAACTAAACATCATAACACTTTGGGAGTGAAAACGGTCACAATTTTAGATAAAGACATTGAAATGAATTACGAAATTAAAAAAAAAGGCCTAAAAAACTTACAGCTCATTTTACGGGCAACACGCAGGCAAAAATTGAACATTGACATAAGCACTTGGCAATTTTAACGGACGCACTGCTTTTGCGCGTATATCTATGGCGATGGTGATGATGACGACGACGACGACGACGATGACAAGGTGGAACCGCGAAGCGGGGGAACATCTCCCAAATAATTCACAATAGTTTTACAAATCTGCAGGCTCGTTTAGATTTCTAGCCTTTCAGGGTGCCAAAAGCTAACTCTGAAGCCATAAATGTCTCAAAAAGCGTTGCCGTAAAGTATTCACTTCAGACGGCCCGCTTTTAGCATCAAACGAGGTGCGTCTATGTTTGGCTTTGCCAAATTCACAGGGCAAGAAGCTGTGTAGTCTGTATGGGTAATGCGCGTTTCTGTCAATGCGCTGCCACGGAAAACATGACTATGGGTCTATAGCGCTAGAGAATGGCTGTTATAGCGTATTGCTACCGTACCGTCTCACGGGTCTGTTCGAGTAAGACTGAATAGCCAATTTATGGCACATAATACTTCACGCCGGGGCTAAAACGGGGGGGGGGGGGGGGAATTAAATGCCACAGATATGCCCTGGTCGCTTTCCTAAATGACCCCCGCAATAAAACCACGGTTCATATCCGGGACAGAGAAGTGTAGTGAAGTTTCTGCATAGACTGCGGCAGAACCATAGATCAACGGCGTTTAGTTAAAAACACCATCGATTTTTCAATACGACGCAAGACACCATGAACTATAGAACCGATGTTTTAGCTTATTAGCCTATAGTGTAATACATGTAGCATTAGCAATGGAGTCGAGCAAAATCTTAACGCATACGGATACATGGGCGCAGTGTCATCGACAACTCCTAGTCATACGTTTACACAGGTAATGAACAATGTTTCCATACTGTGTTATGATTGTTACAATTAGCGGTTGTCCATTAGAAAAGTAACATTTTACAAATCTGCGAATACTCGCGAGCGGCCTTACGGCAAACGTCCACATATGTAACGCATTACACAAAACACATACGAGACTTGGCTTCTAGATTCTTGAGGGGGGCCACAGCTGTTGAACAACTGTTTACCAAGCCAAATAAATAGAAACTGTACTGCTATGTTCGACTAAATTTTCTACCTATGTTAGATTATCAGACATTGAAAAGTTATTGTCATTAGGTAGTTTATCGTAGTTCGTCGCGTTGGGGCACTACTTGTGCCATATTTCAGCATTTTCTCCATTAGAACATAATGAGAAGCAGAGAAAGTCAGGTTATAGATCGGTAATAAATTTATATATACATATATATATAAATAATTTAAATCACGTTATAAAGCTAAGACTGGGAGTGCGTTGATCGCCTCTAAGGAAAAACGTTTCTGTGAACACAACTGAGTTTTACTTTGGAGCACGCACTACTTCCACTGCACATCAAGGGTTACATCATTGACAAACATTTTGGTATGAATCTGTCTTTGGTAGTAAAAAAAACTGCTCATATATATCTACATTTTAGCGGCTGTGCAATACACAGAAGCTGTCATAATTATATGTTTGGTAACTCTAGTTCGATTACGTATCAATGTTTATGATGAGAGTCGATAATTTTCTTAGAAGGATATTATTGAGAGACTTCAATTGCCCATCATCTAACGACGAATTAGTGGTCAGTCGGTGCTAGGCACTACCCGAGAAAAACGTGAGAATTAAAATAGTTAGCATAACGATTAACTGGAATACTTCAGCTCGTTTTAAAGTGAGTAGAGCTCAATCGTTATAACTTGAAAAATCATATAAGCTTTTGAACACCGCAGCATTTCTTCCCGATCGAATAAGTGTCCGTGTGCGTTGTCTTACTAAAGAAGTTCAGACACAGCGTACGTAACAAAGAGAACGACACAGTCTAAGTAGCGCCTCTTTAATTACGTTTCTATAGTAACTATAGATATGAGGCCATCTCAAGTACGAAAAAAACACACATTTTAACCACTTCGGATCCATCGGTAGCTCGAGATGTCAGAACTTTTAATGCCAACGGAAGGTCAGTGATAAATTTAAATCACCTAATGATAGCCGGTTAAAAAGGACGTGTAGTCTTACGTCGCTACCGATGACCGACTCGACAAAATATAGATTCCACCACCAGTTGAACTAGGTAGGCGTACGCTAACAATTCCATATGTCTCTGTGAACTCGTACGACATTCACGCAACGGCCTATGCTACCACCATCAACTATGTCTGCTGACGCCGGACACGATCATGGAGTGATCACTGAGCCGCGCGTATGAATAGAACTATATGTTGTTAGGTGCGGATATTATGCTAATGACGGAGTTTGGTCCATGAAGATGCATTGTCGCCTATTTTCATTAAACATCATTCTACATATGGCCATGCTAAGCCTTTTAGACGTAAGTCGAAGCAAGCAGTTGTGGAATGATTTAAGGCCTTCGGAATGAAAGCTTGCCCCGCGGACTTTAATGGCGTGTGAGGCCTTGGTGTCAATATATGTGTAGTAATACCTCAGGCTAAAACTCCCGACATCGATAAGATGTAGATGCGGTTCAAGGTATCGGCAAGATAAAATGGAGTCGGCTTCTTATGTTCTGCTGAAGCTGCTCAGTAACAGATAATTGTAGACAGGATACATAAAGCTCTGACTAAATTTTGTAGAAGTTATGGTTTTGGAACAGAACCATATTGGCCCTATTGCTGTGACCTTTCCTGTAGGATCATGCTTTTGTCGCAAGACCAACGGTCTTGCGACAAAGGCTTTTTTTTCCCTGTCACTAGAACGACATTCGTCAACACCGGTAGCATATCACCGTGACTGGGCTCATCATCTGGTATGACACTGTGCGGCAACTAAAATACTTAGCCTGAAAATGCAGCGGCAGCTTGTGGACATTTCACGTTTTGGCGAACTATCTGTCTAGTCTTAGCTAGCAAAGCAAAATTTAGTGCTAAAACGTGGGTCGCGCAAAGCGTTAACAGGAAGTTACAAGGGACATAAAGTACCGTTGGCACGGTCGTAGGATAGCCGAGTACTGAAGTTATTCAGTTATAATAAATATAAATAGCCAAAAAAAAATATACCCCAACAACCGAATCGCGAGATTCAGTACACATTCAAACACATGCATTTATGAAAGTGCGTAAAACAAATTGTAGGATTGAAATATTGGGCACGGGAACAAGTGTCGGACGAACGATTCCGCTAAAATACGGCTAATTCCAGGAGCTTAGTTTTGCTATAGGGATGCCTAAAAAGTTCCGAAAAATCTTCAAAGGACGACAAAGACGCTAGCTAATAAATATAATATATAGTAGATCAGCAACAAGACGGTAGGGATAAAGACGAACGATAGCGGTAAAGACGACGTAGAACAAACAACAACGGTGGTAATAACCAGAATGAAGTACAAGTACAGGTTGGTATTTTTAATCAAATAATGTGTACGATTAATAACAAATAATAATTAATAACGATTAATAACAATGTCAAATGGCTAGATAAGTTTTCTTTTCGTAATCTAGCGCCTTGTTATCTATACGCCTCGTCCAGCCTCCTTTTTAATACGCAGACAATTAGTTTTCACACCCTTAGTGCGTTGTGCATCGGCTAAGTCAGCCCTAAGGGCTTGCATTGTACAGCTCATCGTTCTTCAACTTTTCTATAAAACAGGCAGCTGCTGCATAGTCTTAACTGTAGTCTCGCGACCGCGAAAACGAACATTTGCAGATGTTCCCAATGATGATAATGACCGTATAGGTTTGAGCGCGACAGGGAAACAACGGCAGCAGGAGAAACTGCTTGCGGACTAATGAAGGTGACGAAGTTCGTGAAAAAAAGAGCGTAAATACGACGACGAAGACCAGACAAAGTTATTTTCATGATTCGAAGCGAGTAACGCGTATCGCTAGAGCGAGACCTATGTTGGCTCCCGGCCGGCCACACATGTTAGATTATTGATTGTAATGGCTGTGAGATTAAAGGGAGCCTTTCTTTTTGGCGCTAACCAGACAAAAAAGTCGCAGGACAAGCGAGGGGTCCAGCATGTGCTGCCTGCGTTCGTCCATACACTGAAACAGACTTTTATACATCTCTGTAAGTGCAAAATAGAAAGAACTGTGTTGGTCCTAAAGATCCATTTAACAGACGACATCAGTGCGACCGAATAGTTTTGAAATGTGCATGTGCTTCCATTGTAATAGCTAATAGACGTCTCGTATGAGCGCACCGGACGAAAAAAACAATCTCCGCTTCATCGTGGTTATTTTCTACACTACGACACGTAAAATGTTAGCACTAAGTGATATCCTTATACTCGTTCATTTTTTCGAAGTTGGTTATCTCAATACCAAGTTTTTCGTTCTGCTGCACGTATTAACAGCCAGGTGAAGATTTTGTTAAAAAAATCTGCAAGAATTGCCCTGCAACGCGCAAATTTCGGTCCCATGACAGAAATGAAAAAGAAAAAAAAGGGGACGATGTAAACAAACCTACAATTATGGCGGGAAGCAGTGCTTTGATAAGAGGGCAGGCATTATTCAATTTCCTTGCGTAGGATAAGGCCCTGAGGAAAAAACTCGCTTTCGTGTGTCCGACAGGTGCTCGCTAAGGACAATAAAGCTATTTGGTTAATTTCGTTTTCTTCTCGATTCTCTTAAGAGAGAAACATCAGGTTCCCGTCCTTCTTTGACGAGAGAAAATATTTATTTTCGTTCTTGCAAAAATCTAGCGAAAAAACGGCCGCTATCTTTTTGTCTCGATTCAGAGAATGGACCTAGTGTGGGTAAAAATGAGTTTCAGGCCAATAGTCATGCTCTGAGTGTGCTGTCCATAGGCCGACGTGGTTATGTCTGAGCTTCTTGTTGGTCGGAGTTCATTGAATTAGCAGCGGCAGCACTAAGCTGACGTCGATCAAGTGTATACATAGGTCTATACTAGGTGCAAATACTGTCTACCAGGCTATGCTAAGCAATGTAGCTTCTACACATTTAATCGAAATATTGTAAAAACGTCAAGTTTGGAACGAGCTGTCAGCATTATCATTGTATCTAAGCAGCCAATAAATCAACGAACTATTTTCAAAAGGCCAACTGCGCTGTGTAAGATTGCCACCTCCAATTTGTACCCTCGTAAAAGTTGGACATATTTTACAGCATTAGAAAGCCACGATGTTGACTACATTTCAATATTGGGCTGCCCAACCAGAACGCAGCACATTGTGTCATATGAACACGCTCATCGGTCCTGTGCTTCGCATTGTTTCATATCACTGGCCATCGAGTGTTTCTGCAACCGATCAGCAAATCTTTCGATTCTAATAGACAACGTTGAGTGGTTTTGTTATGATTATAAAGAAAGTACACACGATCTTACCTCTGTTAGCAGCAATATCGTCTCAGGCTATTATACGCTTGGAAGGGCCAAACTGGACTCGATCACAATTCGTGGCCTTCGTGTGCATTGTGCGATGTCGAGGCCACTGGTCAAACTATAGTGCAATGTGTACCGTCATAATGAAATTAGTCAATCAGTTGCTAGTACAAATATTGGCTGTTAGGAATCCTTTACAGCAGACTCATCACGCATGCTATGGTGAGTCCTTGCCATGCCGGTACCATTACGGCTGTGGAAGACTATAATCAGGTACTTATGGCACGCAACTAGTATGAAAATATCCTACCACCCAACACATCTGATTGAATAGCGCTTAGGTAAGTCGTTTTGTCGAGGAACTTTGCTTGGGTCCGAGCCAGCTGCATGCGACGAAGGTAAAAAGCTTCTTAGCGTCTATTCATAACTTGCTTGCCTATTACATTGTGGATTGAATATTTATCTAGCTCCTTGGCGTTAGCCGTTTACGTGTTTGTTATGCGGGTGCGTGTTAAAATTCGTATTGTATGCATCTTACTTTCTGAATAATATACTATGAATGGTATTTTGACTTTGTAAACCAGACAAGCGTAGTGGTCGAAGCTTTCAATATTCGAGATGGCCAATAAAAATTATTCGCTAAGCATGGAGGGCTATCTTTCGTAGCTGCTTGTGCTGCTGTTCCATAGTGCACTTGAGGCAAAAATCGATAATAGATTCTAGTAACTCTTGTGGCCTGTGCCATCGATTGGATTAGCCGTGAACTGTCTAGCCATGCGCCTATTGCTGAGGAACACAGACCTATCCGGATACGGGCAGATCATACAGGTTCAAAATGGGCTGACCGATCGGTCGGTCGGTCGGCCGGCCGGCAATGATTTTTCAAGCGCCGTACGCATTTATTCCTTATCAGTGTTTATCATGAGCGATATTACATGAATGCAAAAAACATCCATGCGATGCTATCAGAAGAGCTACTTTAATATTGTCCTTTTCAGGTAACTGACTGTTTGGATTATGACATGCAGTACAAAGTAGCAAACAGCTATTTTTTCAGACAACTCTTCATTGTGTTTGTTCGCACCCTTCTTTGCTGTTTTTACATTTAGATGCTAGACATCGAATTGATCCTATCACTGGCCCTGTGAAGACACTGAATAGGAAAATGTGAACAATATTATTCGAGAACGAACGGTTGACAAGGTTAGAGGAACGGTTCAGTGATGCTTCAACTAAGGAAGGGAATTGGCGTCCCTCTTTCATTTCCGCCGCATTTCGCAGTTGTGCGGCCTTGTTCCATTGTCGATGGATGCGCTTCGTTATCCATCAGTCTGTTTACGGTTGTCGTTCGCATTTGCGAGCAGAGCCTATTTTGGCTAATCTAGATTGTTTTCTATTAGAATAACGGCGAGCTGCGTTTCAGGAATTAGCTCACTGACCGTGATACTGTGAGAAAAATGTACACAGTGAAAGATGGCTCTCATAATTGTTGAAGTCAGGTGAGGTAAAACGGACCGCATCCAAGAATCAATCTGCCTAGAACGAAATAAGCCAACGAGTCAAAAAGTAAAAATACTCATACTCTGTGGAAATTTCGCAAAATCTAGCTGGGAGGACACAGACGTCGGGACCAATGGGTGTTCATTTGCTTTGCTCAATGGTTCATCGTATCGATTAGATTGTCAGGGAGAAACGGCACCAGAACCTATTTGACAGAACGCTTTATACAAAAATCATAAATGGGTGAAGTTGATCTGTCAATGATCGTCTGTTTCAGCTGCAACATGTAAGGGGATGCTTTACTGCGAGGGTGGAATAGCTCCCGTATTATCTTATTTGTAATATAAGTAGGACGAAAGTAAAACGCTGTTGCAATAGGTCAATAGAAAGAGCATCTAAAAAGTGGCACTAGCGAACAATGACAGAAGAGGGACCCGTATTAGCACGACCAGTCACGAAGAAAAGATGTTAGTTAGTTATCTAGTCTAACAAGCACGTTAGCTTAGAATGTACCTTTTGTGCGAAATACTTCTTATTTTCGATGCCGTTTTTACGGATGGTACCGATTGTCTATCCGTTTGTATTAGCATAGTGGCGGAAATCATTTGTCTCCTATTTTAAAATCGGCGACCCAATCGTCGTGACCATGAAACTTTGGATACAGCCAACGTTGCCACTTCGGTCCAATGACAGTCTGTATAGGTTCAGCTGTGCATCTGCCTACACCAAAAGCAAGGCCAGTCTAAAAAAAGATGGGGAGAAACGGTTCACTCGTGGACAGCACCTTGCCATATTTCAGTTTTCCAAACGCCCAAAGGAGCTCGTGAGACGAAGAGGTAAGGATTTGACAAACGACCGATAAACCGACAAAAGTTTCAACTGGTGTGTACGTTTTTCCCCACGTATATACACTTTGATATTCATTTATGTGCAAATATATAGATCGTCTTAACCCAAAATCATTAGAAAAACTGGGACAGTATCACAAAATGATAAAAGAAAAAGGCGCTTTATACTTGGATGGTTGAATGTACGCGATATCGCCCTGTTGCCTAACATTCCCTCGACTCAAGTAACAACTACTGCACACACGTAGAAGCGTTATGGCTCCCGTTCGGCGTAAGGGCACAAGTATACTCTCAGACATAATGATTACCTATTCAATAATATTGCACTTCTATGCCTGCTTTTATGTTGTTTAACTACTCCGTCCTTGTGCTAGCGATCCTTCTAGGCAAGACACTTTTGAGTGGTTTAGCGTATCGTGTCAAGCGTTTGGACCTTAGGAAAGGCGTTGTTCAATATTAGATCAGATGGATACTATTCAAGCTAACTGCGAAAAGGAGGTTCACAAATTTAGCGCGCGCACTTCCCCTCAACGCAATAGAACTCGCAATAGAATAGTATAGCCCGAAGGAACGTGTAAAGGAAACAGGAATTCACCTATTAAACGTTACATTAAGTAGAACTGAACTCGAGCTTTTTAACTGGTACGAGCGGCTCAATAATATAGACGTAGTTCAGGTATAATACAGAAAGAGCGATCTGGTTTACGATCAAAAAATGTTACTAGGTACGCGATCCAAACCTATTAACCTACAAAACTATTATAATTCACTTTAATGGAGCCATTGTTTTTTTTTTTTTTCGATGGAGCTGAAATTAAGACGCTGACGCACGCACACGGCTACAAGCGAATGATGTATGGACACTTAATGTAGACTGCCGGTCTCGAGGCCGACGGTTGGATTTGATCTGGCTACAACCAAAACCAGCTCACGCACTATTTTCTCGAAGCTTTACCTTTTTGCTTTCTTCTAAATATCGTGTATTATAATTATACGACCACCGACAATCAACATTAAATTTCACTCATATAGACACATTTGTGTGTGCATCGTCCTATTTGTATTTGATACTTTCATGGAACATTCAATAATATGATATATATATATATATATATATATATATATATATATATATATATATATGCACACCCTGGCTAGATAGCTTAACCCAAGCTGATATCTTTTAGGTGAACATAAACGTGGCACTAGCGTGAACTTATACACAAGATTGTGTTACATACAAATTCAGCGGCAAGAGCAGTCGGATAGAAGCTGACGTTTACACAACAAACTGCAGGCAAGATTCAAAAACAACAAGTACACGTTCGGAAGCGAAGTATAAAAGTCACGTAGCGTTATCAATCGAAGTTCGGTGTCTGTATGGTGTGGCACAACAATGAAGAGCGGGTCAGTTAATACCGAGTGTCAGTGTAGCTTCAAATCTGCTAACAAAATGCCAGGCTGTGATTTTATAGCAATAGCAGATATATAACCGATGTGCTGATTAGTTACTGTTGTTGTTGTTCCCAGCAAATTTTTCGTGCTCATTCCCTAAAGTGTGTGCATGAGTATAAGATGGCAATAAGGATCGTATTTTGCGAGCTACAGATATCGCATGACGACTGAGAACGATGGGGAACTCTGCCATCTACTCCCTGCACCATGCCGGCGGGAAAACAGCTGATTCCCTGAACTGTATTAGTTACTCTAATCGAAACTCTAGTGCAATGGGCCATGGCCGGCCCGCATCACGAACTCTGCTGCTAGATACCCATACTGAAGCTGAACATACAACTGGTGATTTTGGTGAAGACGGAAGGTCAAGAGCGCTAAGTCAACCATGTTGCTTCCAGAAGAAGGTAATCAGATTTTTCGAGGTTCGATCGATTCGCTCGCTAACCAGCGGCTGTGAACTTACTTATTTAAGCGTCTAATCTAATGTTTCGCTTTGCCAGGGTCATCGTGGTGCACTCGACGACTTGACAGCGTTCGACGTAATTCCTCAACTTGTGGACTGCCTCGAAACGGACCACCGTGTAGAGGTTCAGTGTCGAATTCTTAAGCTCCTAACTGTAGTAATGCAGGCCAGCAATGAGGGCAAGAAGCGCGTTGTGGACGCCAAGGCGTGTCCTATTTTTATTAAACTTTTAGCATCCGACAGCAGGAAAGTAGCTAGTAACGCGGTTTGGGCACTGAAGACCGTCACAGACAACAGAACGTACCGTGAAGTGGTCATTGAACTGGGTATCGTGCAGCAGCTCATTTGCCTGATAGGTCGAGATGTTTCCGAAGATATCACGTTTAAGTCAAAGGTATTTTTGTGCATATCGAACCTTCTTGCCAATGGTCATTCGTCTTCGCTGGCATTGTCAACGGTGTGTCTAGCAGAGATTCAACAACTGCTAATGGATCCGTACAACACTGTAATGTATGACGCTTGCCTACTACTTAGAAAGCTAATATTTACGGGTGTGATTACAATTAGCCAATTAAAGAAGTTGCGCGTTGTCGATAGGCTGGTGGCAATAGTCAACACACTGAAAGATAACAGATATGGCACCCTCCTCGGCGCCCTCTATGTTCTTGAGGCGATAGCTGTCTTTCAGAGTCAAGCGGCTATTGATCACGATGCCTTATCAGCACTTAGGCGACTGCTTGTACTAAACGACCATCTTAAGCTTCCAGCCGACGCCATCGTGCTGGCCACTCGTATATTCAGGTACATTGTGGCCGGTAATACAGAAAGGCTCCAGATCGTCCTCGATCGAGGCTGGGTAGCGCTTATCGTAAAGACCTTTCAAACCGAAGATCTAAATGTTCAAAACGAGGCGGCCATTGCCATCAACGACCTTAGTTGCACTTGTAGCGACTATCCGACAGCGCTACGCTTCCAGCAAGATATATTACCAGGACTCGCAGACTCAATAATATACTACCAAAGATCCAGTATTGCCGACGCCGCAGGACAAATTCTGATGAGGTTCTTGGTGAACATCTCGCGTATCGTTGCCACGCCGGAACAACGTGCGGCTCTTTGCACCTTCCTCAATGAGCTAAAACTCACTGAACAACTGAAGAAAATGAAACAGCAGGGCGATGTACTAAGTACCTACATAGCGGCTTCATGGCTGGACTAACGGTCTAAGGAGAAATTAGCATCGGTGCAGTCGAGCAGGATGTGTATCGGTCTGTCTTACAAGTCTTTTAGTAGCGCTCCATGCATTTATAGATAATATATTATATTAATCATTATATCTCTAATTGTGATTCATCAAAGCGTCAGCTCTTCGAGAAGCTTTCAGTTAGTATACATTTGGTTCACATGCAACCGAACAGGTTGTTATCGGCAGTGATTCCAGCAGTGTTAGAAATACGTTCGAGAAAATGTCACGGTAACTTCTTGTAGACGCAGCTTCCTGAACAGTAGCAGGGTCTAGCAGCCAAGCGTCTATCGAGGGTCTTTAATACTAATACCAATGGTGATACGAGCATTACCAGATAGTGGTTTTTGGCGTGATCTGTGGACATGGTATCAGTTGCTAACTTTTAAGATCTGAGACGTTGTTAATTTGTTTTTAACATAATTTAGAACTAGAGAATAAATAGAACAGATTTCTCAGTTGTACTGTTTGTATCCTGTTTGTTACAACCGATTCCATACTTGCACTTACAGCACCTATTGAATTAGTTATACCTTAACTGAATTCAGATATTACTCTCCTTTGTTTAGCCAAGCGATATATATACGGAGCCATGTGTCAATGAAATCCACATAACGTTATATACTATTAAATCGTTTATGTATATCGGACCTGTCAGCTGTCAAATTCATAGCTGTGGAAAGTATTTGTAAATATCATCGTATATATTTATTACCAATGAGAAGTGCGGTCATTCATCTTCTTGGACACAGGCTGTAGTGGCCTTAAAGGCCGGCAGAACGTGACGTAAGCATCTCCAATGGGACGTCGCGCATATATATATATGCTTAATAAGTAAAAGGCACAAAAAGTCGACTCCTTTTATAAAACGAATAGTTTGGCCGGAGTGCATAGTGAAGAAATACTCGCAGAAAACGAGAAGTGTTTATGCGACATTGTTGAAGGTTAGAGCAGACATGAGCGTCCGTTCGCTAGAATTCAGCTGATTTAGATGAGGCTTATGATCACCAATCTTTTGATACGATACATGTTTTACAGCAGCAGCAGCAGCAACTGACCATTCGGCTCCGTATAGGCACTAGCGCAGCAGGAAACAGTGGGACAGCTCCTACATCCGCTCGGTTTCGATGTAGTTATTGGTCACAAAACATTGGTCTTAATCACAAAACGGCCCCTCATGCGCAAGCAGATCCTTGTAGCAAAAGTGGGTCATATTATCCATCTCAGGCATTAGGACTTGTCTGATTCAAGTCGACTGTAATTGAGCTAGACGGCTAAGTCTCAGCAAAAATCTGACGAGAAGGGTGTTTGATAATGAGTAGTATGCCAGGCCATGTGTGAGCTTGTTAAGGACATGAACATTTATTATCACGAGAGCCTGCGGAATTTGACCCTGTTTTGTTAACAGCATAACCCAGTTGACAACTAACAGCCCAGCGTTCTTGCTTCTGAAGGTAATCACGAATGTGTCATAATCTTATTATTGTTACATAAAAATGATTATTAAGTAATAGATGACATGTGGGGGCATGACATGAATATTTAGTTAGTTAGTTAGTTAGTATAGTTAGCATGTAGATTACTGTCACATTTACATGTCTAACGTTGTATAAACGACGTTGTGTAATTTGAGCGACGAAGCGATAAGTTGGTGACTGTCAATATTTCTATGCATGTGACCTGTACTGTCGCATCCCGTTCTTTACTGGCAAACGTCGATGACCTGCCGAACCAAAAGACGTTTTCAAACATTCAACATGACACCGTCGTAAGCGGACGCGTCATTGTGTATATCAGTGTGTATTTTCAGATATCTTTTCCTGTTTCGCTGTGTCGTAATGCTGCGGATTGCTCTTGTCATAGGAACCCCTTCACGCTGACAGGGACCTTGCACAGACTGTTGGCGTCACATAAACATATTGAATTATAGTAGTTTCGAAGCGCACAAGGATATCTAGAAAACTATTCTATACTTACCTCTCAGCTTGCGAAGTTTAGTTCAATGAAACGACGGGGCATGCCGTGTAACAACACAGTTAGCTAAACACCTATCAGAATGTTAGTGGTCCAAATTTACGTCTCGATAATATTAGCGGTACATATCCGTGAAAATTCAATTTTCAGTTCCTACAGACCTTACTCGTCGGATACCCCAGGCCCCAGGGCCAAGTTCGAAGATCCTTCAATCTGTCGCCTCTCGACGCTAAGACTAATGTCCGATCAACGATGAAACAGCTACGTATTGCTTCGATACTTATTCATATATTTGAAACAAATAGCTCAGGAACAAGTTACTCATTGCTTCTATGACTGATTTGCTAGATCTACATGTTCGCTGCTCCATAGAGTCTATTGATACAAGATTATCATCGTAGAAGTAAGTTCAAGGCAAAATAAGCTCGCTGGTTTCTGAAAGCTCTGTTTTTTTTCTCTTGTTTAATTTTTTCCTTACATAGCAACACCGAAACTGTGTTCCCACTGTGTTATCGACAATATTCGAGACTGCCAGGTAATTCAGTAGATCTGTTCGACCCTTCTAAACTACTCCATAAAATAAAATAGGTCAGCGTCATTGGAGAGTACGGGGTCAGGACATTAGGTAACGCATGGCTAAAAACTCCTATCGGTTTAACCCGTTTATGTACCATACCTTACCTCGTAGCAAGCAATATAATTATTCATTCATATTTAGGTTTCTGTGAAATGTTCAGATGATATTTATTTTGACGCAGTCAAATCCTCTGACCTATTTGGGTATAAAGACAGGACTTCATTAATCTGACAGTTAAACGGAAGCAACGCATTGAAATATTACATTGATATTATATATATATGATATAGTTAGATTATATATATATATATGATATAGTTAGAACCGGTGTTTTACATCATTTTCATACAAGCGCTGTCGATATTTATTATTTGCTAGATTCTCGGATGGCTCGCTCATTGAAACGGCGAAGTAGAAAGCGAGTGTGCTATTCATCCTGCACTAATCATAGGTAGGTTAGCAATCCTTCGTTCAGTGTTCGAGGGCCACTAAACCGCAGGTTAATACAGGTTGCTGGTGCCAGGCAGCTCTGACCTATCAGTTTCCAGTTCGTGTTTTCCGCCAAAGTCGAATACGTCCGCAGTTCATGTGGTGTTCGCCGCGTGGCGACTTACCCAACGATAAGCAAGCAAAAGATCCTCATTCGTCCGGCTTTCCAGTGTGCGAAACTTCTATGAAGGACACCGCTGAGCTCGACGGCCTGTTGCCATCGGGCGATATCGGCCAGCCAGCAGCTACTAGTAAACTGTCGCGGCACAAATGACACATCTGTTTCGAGTCCGTACACCAGATGTGCAATTGGTTAGAGTGGCTGACAAATCTCCTATGACCTAACGGTCGTATATATATATATATATATATATATATATATATATATATAAAATGAAGTCCACATGATTTTCGGACGACCTATGGAGAGCGTAGACGATTGTATATGGCGTTCAGTTTGCTGTCGTCAGCTGCAACCTAGCCATCCGAATGCCTGCCTCATGGCCGTTTAGGACGTAAGGCTAAAATAACTGGCTTTATTTAACATAACCTGTTTAGAGCATAATCACAAATATGACGCACGCAATGAACGATGACCCAAGGGACTGATGCAGATTTTTTGTTTTAAAAAAAAGTAAACACTCGTTTATCTAGTACCATTTAGGCTATTCCGCACATGTGTAGATTCGATATTTGCTAATGTCTGTCAAATTTCCAACTTTGAATGGCCATCAAGTGCCGTGGCGATGCGGAGAAATACATCCGATATTAACTCATCAGTGACAGTAGCGAATGAGCCTACCTTGGCTTAACCAGACAACCAGGACGGTGCTAAGGAAAACAAAGTCTGTCCCCGATGAGATCACCACCCATCTGATGATGATATGAGCGCACCAAGTCAGCCCATGAATATGTAATTAGATGATAGTTGACGAGAACATTTAAAACGCATCTGTACAGATTTAGTATATGTTCATGTCAGGTATCATTCTCAAACCATGACAAAAAGAGCTTGCCGATAACGAGTAAATATCAACGTGATCATAAATGTACCCGTTCTTTATGAGAAGGAACAGTTTGGTTTAGGGCAATTTTCTCATGTCCGCGGCTCGCTGAAACGCGCGTGGCGCGAGTAAACTGGTTACGTGTGTGTAAAGGTCGGCAAACCTACGTTAGCCCCCGCCTTCGCGCGCGCGCACACACATGGAGCTACGGGCATCAGCACACGTGTTCTCTACGTGTTGTTGTTACCGTGCCATTAGTCAACATTCATTTGATTGAGAGGTAATTGAACGAAGGCTGTCACACTCTCGGCAGCACGTGTTTTATCCATCGTTTCTCCTCTCTATACTATTATAGGCCACGAATACGGTATCGTCCTAAAAAACTGCGCCGGAGATGTTGATCGTTTAAAGTCGGCTACAACTCTTAAAATCTCAGCAGAAATACGACAACAGTCAGTGTTTATTTGCATCCGCTTATTATGACTATTATATTTATTGGCCGGATGGACATAAGCGTATAGAGGAAATGCATCAAAGGCACATATTTATGGGGCCTTGCTCCACTCGTAATCCTCTCATAACTTCTCAACGGAAACAGCTATCCATCTTGATCGCAAACTCAAGGAAATCGTCATAACTACTCAAGCAATATAACGAATTAAATATCAGCCTGCAGTGCCTTCGGATAAACTGAAAGATTGTAGCAAAGTTACCTAACTCTATGCTAGACATCGCATTATACCCTGTTCTGCGCAAGACCTAAAATTATAACCAAATAGAGATATGTCAGTGTTGCTATATTTAATAACCGTAATTTTATTTTTCTACTCTTTTTATACCTTTACGTAGGGACAACTTGTCGCCATTTTAACTTCGTGCAGAAGGCTTAAAAAGTAGCTCCATACGTGTGTGCCTCTCTATTGGTGCGTATAGGGGAAAAAATATGGCGGATTGAAACGGGCGGTGTTTTATCTAGAAATAGAACGCTAATACCAACTTTCATTTAGATGTACGCCAATTTAAAGGAAGACTAACGTTTGGACAATGGAAAAGAGAAATAACATCGCGCTCGGGGTATTCTCAAGCTACATTTTAAAGGCGACAAACGAAGGCAAATTGAATAGATATCATATGATCACCTTGAAAGCCATATGAGTTAGGGTGACGTGGGGCTATAGGAGCCACTGCAGTTCGAGCATGCATGAGAGCGACTATTGCCAATGCTAATTTTGCAGACAAATTCAAAGAACTAAGCGAGCTAGATCTGCGAAAGCAACAGGAGAGGTTTTGTATGCGTATTCAATGTAAATCACAGAGAATATATCATATATATATGTGTGTATATATATGTGTGTATATATATGTATATATATATATACACACATACACATATATAAAAAAAGTGAAAAACCTTATATCGGCTAGTGGCTTCGTTGTGATTGTTTGTGATGGAGAGGCCTGAACGCATTTCTTCTTCTAGTCAAAAACTGGACAGACCCGAATAATAATAATAATACGTATGTGTTTGTGCAGCAGTCACGGCCGATTCCTGAGTTTTAACGATGTTTCTCCAAAGGTTTCCTTTGGGCGCTGTCATAGTGTCAGCAGACATCCACTTTGTAAATACTCTACAACTGTGACAAATTAATCAGTCATCGTACGAGTTCTACGAGTCGAAGTTTACGTGTTATCCTGTTCGAGTGAAGTAATCAATGGACGTTGTACGAGTTAGCACTTTTGCTATTTGTCAATGCGACGATAGTTTTTTGTTTTTATTTATTTGTAGTGAAGGAGGTGAAAATATGGAAAAATCTTCGCCTGACTGATAATCTCAGAAAGGTAGGCGTTAGCCATCTGGCAAGATTTTAGATAGTGCTATTAAAATTTTAAACGATTCAATCCTCTAGTCGAATATAGCTTACCGAAAGATAGAAAGAAATTCTATCTTTTCGGTGAACCTGTGTATCAACAAAAAAAATCACACGCATATCCCAAGTAGAAAGAGACGATCGTCAACTACACATTGGTCGATGCACATTTAAAACTCATAGGTAAAGGTGTCTATACTCTAGCTACTGTAAAATGATTGAATAGATGAACACATCGACATGAGGCGCCTACATCTACAAGTAATTTTCAAATAGAAACAGTAAATATTGGTTAAACTTACTTTGTTGACTTTATGTACGATGTATGTAACATGTAAAACTGTCATGTTTGCATTATAGTTTTACATATTGTACACCGTAAACTCAAACTTAACCTTTAAATACAGCCAGACATTGAACGGACCCTTACTCTTTTTTTATCTATATTCTCTATTAATTATTTATTTATTTATTTATAAACTTGCATTTTTATTATCGCTGCCTTAGAGATCAGCTAGTAGCTCATTGGCTATATTGAATGAATGATAACCCATATAATTAGCCTATAAAACGGATGGGGCTTTGACAAACGTTTCCAGTAGCACCGGTAATTTTCGATAATAGTAATAAGCGTATAGCCCTACACTTTCCAGCATCTGTTCTTGAGGAACCGCTGACTATGGCTGCATTCAAGCGATTTATAATAGCATTTCTTATCTTGCTTTTATCTGGCGATTGGGCCGCCGGGCTCGCTGTCGCGGTAATGATATTACATTGTCGCGTCGAACCCTATATATAGCTCGAATTTTTTACGTCAGTGTATGTTAATAGCTACATTGGACTTAATCCCGGCAAAAAGTTTGTGCGAACGCAGAAACTCTTATGGGAAAATTGTTATTTTGCCTATTAGAAGGAACCAGCTGAAAGCGAACTGGGACAAAATTTCCTTCTATGTGCGAAGAGCTTTTTAGGAAAAAGAAAGTTGCGCCTAGAGGAATCTGTATTGAAAAGGTTCATAGTTCGGAGGTCCAACTTGGTATAGGAGTTATATAATACTGCTATTTTATATTACGGAAAGTTAGCTAATGTTAACTTCTTTGCATTGGGATAACTCGTTGACTGTCGAGGCAGAAACTGAAGTAGGACAAAGGCGGTCTGGCTAACAGTGTCTAGGTTATGATGCGTCATTTAATGAATTCACTTAGCCCAGGATTGCAATTTTCTAAATGTTCATTTTCGGAAATCTCACTAAATTTCACTTTGCTCGACTCGTATGACGTATGAGACAAGCTCGACTTTTGGCCGAAAATAAACAGTACTTGTTTGGCAACGAAGATAGGTAGCCATCGCCAGTATTACGTTTAGGTAACCGTTACAAAATGCATCTTGACAAATTTCAACGAAAAGTAAAAGATATAGCTACCCAAACTTCTACCTTTCGAGTTGTACATATGGTGTCGCCGTCAAGCATTCTATTAGATGGTTGATTCCCAACACGAAATGAAGTCTGTCTATGGCTGGATTCAAAGATCCATAGATTACAGCGCGTCCCTAAGATACGTACGGGGCAAACATGTTGCCCACTAAGCCACCACGGGGATCCAAACCTAACGGAATCCATAGTATATCTAAACACATGAAAGCACACTACGTAAATGGTAGGAATCGTTTTCCAGTGCTACGCACAGGCGGGGTTCGAAGACCACGAAATTTATGAGCATTTCGACGCTTACAACGTGTGAGTCCAGCACCGCGTCAAATGATTACGTATTGAACCTTCAACTGATAGACGAGATGTGCCCGTGAGATTCAGGTTACCTAATATTGAAATTATTATGTCAAGATTATGGCGAGTGCAGATGAGCTCCTCACCTGCCTTTTTGCGGGGCTACTTTCACAGCCCTTGCCATACACGGTCTAGTGTTATCGTGACGAAGAATAACTCTGGCTTGTCCTGTTGAATAGCCTCATTAGCCCGGTATGGTTAGTCCATATACAATGTCCCTGTAAACTGCCTTGTTCTTTTCAATCATTTCCCAATGTATAAGACCCATCCGATCCCAGCAAACGCATTCTCTTTTTGGGATGGCGGTCCATATGGTTCGGACCGACTCATTAGTCCCTCTGCTTTGCATCGACGTCAGGACACCATTTCTCGTCATTGGTAGCAATTCTGTGAAGGCCGTTAACACTGCCACGTATGGCACAGAGCGGGGCAAGACTTTGAGACGCAATGAAAAGCTGTGTTACTTTGTTTTTTTCCAATAAATTCCATAGATCTATGTAGTTAGTTTTTTCCGCACAGTTGACAAACCGCTGTCGGCTGTCTTCCCTCCTAGTCGGTTCTGCTTAACCGCTGACAGCCTACCAAATGGCTTTAATAACCCTGTTGCAATCTAAATCTTCAATAATAACGAAAGATTTTTACATGTGTGGTGCGTGCAATGTCGCTGAAAACCGAATTTGAAGCTTTCCTTCGTGAAATAAATTTTCAGATCAAAAACTCATTGGGATTAAGCTCGCTAGCGAATCGTTTGTGTCATTAGAAAAACAAATAGACCGAGCCACGTGGCCGCATGGAGGGGCCGTGTGTATCTTTTCCGCGTATTTCATGCTATTTTTCATACGTTACGTATCAGCAAGCAGAATGTATATGAAGCTGCCTTTGATGTCGGCAACTATGATGACCTGGAGGACAGCTGGACGTACGAACCAATTTAGTTGTTCCAAATACGTATTCTCACCTATTTTAAACGTGTACCTACCCCGTGTAGTTTATTTTCTCGTTAAAGCTGTAGTTTGATTGATCGCTGGAGTATTATTATAAGATAGATGCAACAATTTGCATTATAGGTGTAAGAAAAGCAAGGTCTATTTCACTTAGTGGTCGCCGGTCGAGAAGGTGTCTCTAGAACGTGTTTGAAATATCTAGGTAAAGAGAATTTATAGCCTTCAAAATATTTCACCTGCTGAAGTTTTGTAGTACTCTCATTGGCACTTTTCGTCCTGTCCGAGTGCGCTAACTCCCCGACATTCAAACACCTGTGGAATATGCGTAGCAATAGCTTATCCTCACTATTTGCCATCCCCGTTAAATGAGGCTTAAAATAGCCTACCCAGTACATAAGGGCTCTTTCGCACATTCGGGTCGGCGCAAGTGAAAGCCATCTTATCGATATGTCAGCTTAGCTTGTAATACTACTCAATATTTTGCGCCACCGATTTAAAGCTCCCCGTTTATAATCTCACAGGGAACACACAGATGCATGCGGTTTTTTTTTACTTGAAAGTATATTGTTTTGCAGCGACATACTTTACTAACAACGAACTATTATATGAACGACGGGCAGAAACTGTTAATTGTCGAGGCCCTTTCCGCCGGTAGCCCTTTCCGTTAGTCGTCGGGTGCCTGGTATTGCTACCCTCACCCTCCGCCCTGACGCGCGAGTGCCGCTAATAGTAATGGTGCTTCCCTTTCCCTGGGGCGTGCAATCTCGCCAAGTAAGACGGTCTAGTTACCAGACGAGATGTGACACTGACAGACATATCCCAGCGCCATTAAGTACAACAACAACATCAAATCACACTATTGACGTTATATTGATAGTAATCATCAGCATAAACTAACGCTAATGACCACATCGGCGATACTCACGAAACTTAGGCAGCATCGTTCATAGCAAAACTCTCCAGTCAAATTAGTTTAGCTTAAAGTAGCTTTCAGGTATAGCGCTCAAGCGCCTGTATGAACGAACAGCCACAGCGGATCGCTATTAATAAGCGCCAGAATTACGCTTCAACAAACTAGAACTGATTGAACACCGACGCGTGCCCCAGTCACGCGGCAGCTATTTCATAGCCGATCGTCACATCGCACGTACTCACCGCGTACGTCAACCTAATCTGCCTAGGACAGACGACACCTAGGTGCTGCTCTCTGTGCACTGCTGCCATGGGAAGTGTTACTCGTCTTTAATAACAGTTCCTAATAACGAGATTGTATTAATGTTGGCACGCCTGTCGAAGTAGTGCGTCCGCGACAGCAGAAGGACCGACGAAACTTTATACAGCCGACAGCTGTGGGACGCTCCGAGGAGTGAGGTAGAGAAGTGCTGAGTGAGTCAAGGATCCCATTTAAGGTGAACTTATGTCATATCTTTCCGTGTTCTAGCAATCTGTGACAACTCACAATGGCGGCCACCTATGAAAACTGAACACTTAAAATTATGTGTTGGCCTCACGTTTAATACTCGTTATTGAGCGAGCAGCTTTATTGATTCGTTAATTAGCGAACAAGCTAGGCAGAAAACACCTTCTTCGAAAATACACATTCTGCTTATTAGCTGCGTGCGCAAGCATACATTGTGATACCTTTAGTTGACTACAACGCACACACAATTTCACTAGAGTATCCTGACTCGCCACAGTCAGGCCCAAAATTGTTACAAGGCGGTCAGGCCAGCAGTATTAGCAACAATAACGTTAACAACACCTGCAACAGTAACACCAGCATTCGAACGAGTAACAACTCCGACAATAAAAACGGCCGGGGTGACCAGCGTTGTGCCGGCGTGAAAACAGGCGTCATCGTCGTCGTCGTCTGGCACGTTTTTTGTGTGTTTGGGGGTGTGTGTCTGGGTGCGTGCGTGCGTGCGTGCGTGCGTGTCCATCGACCACGTTTCCAATAATGGCAACAATTTCGTTTGATTCAGTATTACAACAGGGAATATGGTAAGCATCATCGGACGCGCCTTGATTCGCGTGCAGGTGGATGACGTCTTTGTGTACGTATAATCAGGAATTCGCGTAAACGACGACACTGTGAGATCTTCGGGTCTTCAAGTTCGGATCGCGTGCATTGCAAAGTGGTGTCAACGATTAAGTTTACGCTCATACGAACTTAACAGCGCCTGCAAGCTCAGCTGCGTCTTGGGTAAATGCGTGAGTTGCCCTAGTGATAATAATGCAACAACGTGACAACGATATTATAATTATTATGCAGCCACTGACAAGCGACGTGTGACAGCGGGGGCGGCGTTATCTGAGTGCCGCGTCACGCCTTCTGTGAGCTAGTGAATATTTTTGCAAGTGTCCGATTGATCTGAAACAAAACGAGGAAGCGTTTAAGATAGCGGACAATAAAATGTCCAAGAAGAGAATCGTCGGCCAAATCCGCCGCCAAGTCACTCTCATGGCCGTACGAACCGCAGTGCTTGCCTAGCTTAGACTGGCGTTAACAAATTGTCCTACGTATCCGCAAAACAAAAAGCCAACCGAAAAAAACCGTGATAAGGTTGGCACAGAGATCGAGCTAAACAGCGACGTAACAACGTCATTGTATCGGATTGGCGAAGTAGGGACTCTGGTCGGGATGGCGAAGTGGTCCGTCTGAAAGTAATTTCCTTTTGCCTTTGTAGGCGTAGCTACGCCTATTCTAAACAAAATCATCTCAAAATGAATAATTATCTAGCATGGAGACGCTTTTCTAAATTGATATTGACATAGACGTGTAACTCGATCAGAACTGCGCCATAGGATACTTAGTAGTTTGTTTTCTTTAAAATCATGAAAAGGACAACGGCGATGAACTGACTGAAATTTGGAAAGAGAGCGGAAACGGCGACAAGTTAAATTGTTCATTAAGCCATTAGGCGAAAGTCACACTATCGCTAAAGATGTTTGTTTGTTTGTTTGTTTGTATGATACGCCCGGACAAATCATCGATTCGTTGGCTGTGCGTTGGTCTCCGGAAACAGAAATGGGATCCGTCTCCAATCGACTTTCCCTACGGGCGTTTTTTCAGCATCTGAAGGCCTAGTATGTACACGGTACATCCTCGGAAACTGTAGAAAAGTAGCCAGGAGACGATTAGCGGATCGGAATACAAACGCGACGAAAGCGGCGTTCGACCGACGCCGTCGGGTGACATGAACTGCTGCAGCGATGGATAAAAGGCTGGATTACACCCCTCTTTTACGCCATATTATTCCCCACCATAACCAGCAACACGACAGTAATTATCATTATATTCATAGATATCCGAAAAAACAGCTGAGGCTGAACCGCCAGCAGCAGCTGCAGCAGTCGCTCCGAAGCCCCAAACTTCAACAACCTTCGAATAGACTTCGAACGAAAGAAGTTAAACTTGGCATTATTATCTCTCGACGACCCGACTGCACCGGCGTCGATCCTCGACGTCGCAATGAACCATCACCAGCGGCAGTGTGAGTTTATATCTGAGTTTACCTCATTTTTAGGTACGAGCACATTTTTAGTTAACATAATATCTGCAACAATCATATAATAATTTGCTAAGTTTGCGTTCGCGCTAGGATATGCCACTGACAGACTCTTTGAACGTTAATCTACAATTGGCTCATGGCTTGGGGGCAACCAAGAATATCGGCATACCCCATCGTTCCGCCCCAATAAACGAATAAAGTGAACATAAGCAACGGATAGCCAAAAATGAAAGCGCTGTTTGCATTTTCTTTTATGGAGTGATCTTTTCGATAATCTTAAGGTCAAAAAATTCATAGTGAACATCTCTGCTGAGTGGAATTGATCGATTTTATAGGGCTTATATGTGTGTGTCTTAATGGGAAGCTACTAGTCGGCACCGTTCGTTACCCTTAATATTCGCTTTACTCGCTTAGTCCCAGTATGTAAGCACTACGGAGAAAAAACGGGCCGCAAAACTATCTTTTGCAAAATGCGGTACTTATTACGAAACGACTAGTTCTTAAATTCATAATCGAGATCTACTCTCCCTGTTGCGAACGTCGTAGGAAAGTTGTCACCGAAAAAAGTGTTACCGTGGTGCTAAAAAGACTGAGGGCTTTGTGCTGTTATAAACAACAACGTACCTAAGCTGTTATACGAGCAGATAACATTAGCCACTCGAACATATCAATAATAACTGTGAGCAAACGACTGCAACAAATATAATCTGCTGCGGGCGGTCGTATCGATAGTTCGTGGCCTACCGGGGCAGGACAGGCGGCTGATACCCGCTGGATACCTTTTTCTGCTCAACGTCACCACCGTACAGCTAGTGTAGTAAAATGAAAGGCCTTAAGAGTCAAGATACGTGAAATGGCCTGTGTACTGGAATGAAAGAGCCAGTCATATGGTGGAAGCATATCGGAATGACGCGCCAATGCTGATGGCACTCTGATCTTCAAGCCGGATCAAACGTTTTCTTTTGCTGCATGTAATAGTCGAACCCCTCTAGCAGTCTCCGATCAGCTGTTGCTGTAGGCTATATTGCCGTTAACAAGGGGCTAGACATTGTACTGATTAGAATGCAGCAGCAGTAATCGGTGTAATTTACTCTGTCTATATTGATCAAGTGAAATTGCTAGCGGCTGAATCTGGGCGCCGATGCGTTGGGCTCAAGCAGTGTCGCAACGAATGTTTACTCATTCTACATAAACGAACAAATACCTACTTCTACCACTACTACACCTATAACAGCAGCTATACTGTACAAGTGTGACGTTTTTTAAATAAGGCGCTCGCTTAACAACAGGGCTGGCTGACTTTGATTTCATCATTTAGCCTTTCCGAGATGTGTACATCTCTACTATGTAGCGCATATTCCGCGATCGTCACGTCAGTCAGCTATTAGTGGAATCTTAGTTAATGTGTGTCTTCATAGATCTTCTCGTTTGTATCCGTCCCATTATCATTATTATTTTTACTGCCAGTAGATGTTAGCTTTACTAGACAAGCATACAAACGATTTGACTTACATTGTCACGCCCTTGTTTTTCGTCTTCTTATTTGTGGACCGTTTTTGAAGTAGCTAACGGCTCATTCAACGTACGCAGTGCGCTACACTGTCTTTGATAGCCATCTTGACGAAGATTATTGTTGTTGTTATCATGACGAGACAAGGCTGCAGGCGATGGCAGAATGAGGCTAGCGCAATGAACACTTCACCGTTTTCGAACGGGCGCTATATAATGGGTGCAGACCCTTGGTTTTGCTAGTTTTACTACACATAATAATGGCGCCATATATGAGCAGCGGTGCTGCGACCGATCGCACAAAGACTAATTAATCAGAAACGCCGTAGCAGAATAACGTTGCGCATGATAATATTTGTCGTACCGAGGTCCGTCGAGCTGCTAGCCATTTGATCGTGACCTATGTGATAGGCTGCGCTATAGATCTGCTACGATCGAGCCATAATAAGCTTTGATACGAGAATAAGACGTTCGATAAATTTGTTCGAGGCTCCGCTCGGAGCTGCCACTGATCAATAGAACCTATGAAAATAACAGTGATCAGCGGTGCCTAGAGGAAAAATTAGTACAACAAATAAAGCGGCTACCACAACAACAAAGTATTGATCCTAACAACGAAAATTGTTTATTCACGACAAGCAAAGTGACAGAAAACTATTTTTAGTTGATCCCATTGCGTGCGTGCGAACCCAAATGTGCCGCTAACTGCGCAGTCTAGATAAGGTAAACAGTCTGTTCTGAGGGCTGAACGCATTCATTTAAAGATTGTCGTTCGCAAGAATAGATTTAGCAATGAGTCAAGCACACAAGTAGTATTTGAAGGCGGAGATCCTAATTTTAAGCCATTTTGTCCTTGACTAAAACTATATGACTTGCCTCTGTGGGGGCGCAGATTTTACTTTCAAACTCATCTATTTGAGTCAATATGCGACAGTTAGAAGAACAGATACTTAACTACAAAATGTGCAAACAATAAAACTATCATTGCACTTTTGTGGCGTGTAAATTACGGCAAAACTCATATCGCTTGTACATAACGTTAATTTGAATAAAAACTGATTTTTGAGCGCCATTTTCTGCATAGACCCGTTTCTGACGGTTACTATTTGCTTTGGTCAAAAATTCAGTTTGAGCCCTCAACTGGTCATAAGTCATTCTCCTTCCTAAAAAGTCACAAATAACTTCTTAATAATAACAGTGGACATTAATACTCCTCTCATACAAAAAAAAAAAAGCTGGCGCACTTGTTTTTGAGTTGACGTTAAACCAAAGGTTTCAAAAATCCAGGAGTCCGAAAGGGCTTGAAAATGGCGCGATGGCGCCTTGCAAAGCAGTCTCAAAGGAAAATCAGCGTAAATTTTGCTATGATCAGGTATAGTTTTTTGTACCTTTTCGATAACGTTTTAGCGTTTTGAATTTGAACCCGTACCCCGGATCTTCCGCCTTTCCTCACAAGAATTTGTATCGTACCTTCCAAAAGCCGTCCAATAACGTGCAGTCGAGCAACTCTGTAATTCGCTGTCCGACGTAACGGCATTGAAAAATCGTGTTGATCGTTGTTCAAGTGGTTTTCTATAGACGATCGTAAAGGACAATCGTGTTTCTAGCACGAACAATAATGGGTAGCTGCATGGTCTTAAATATTATTTCGGCTATTACCTAAAAAGAGACACGCAAAATGTAACTACAGTAAAAGTATTTCTGGTTAACCGGCAGCCATCGAAGCTGGCCATTGCTGCAAACATGATAGTACCGGCGGGATCCAATAAAATATGGACGACTTAAACAGTTTGAAGCAATATACGATAATAGAAGGGCGTTCGTTGTGTGTTTGTTTACTGAGACACGGAGACAAGTTGGTTCATCGATTAGAGACAAACGTCATACTCAGGAGCATAGACGAAGATTTTTCTGTTGTTATAATTGTTACTGACGTTGTATTTAGTACATTTTGAAAATATCGTTATTACCAGCTGCATAAGTACAATTTAGCCATATCTATATTATTACGGTTCATTTATTCAGAGATATCTTGCGCAAACAAGTACGAGCCGTCGATCTCTAATCAGAGATATCCGACTTTTTTTACCGTGTCCGGCCCATTATCCCAATCTACGTTCAATACTTATGTGTTTGCGCGCTAAATATAGAGAACGTAACGTAACGTAACGTAACGCTGGTCCAAAGCCTGTTGTACGACAAATGCCAGTTACGAGGTCTCGACGTAAAAGTCTAAGCGTTTATTTATTAGCTTAAACATTCTGTAGCATTCAGGCTAAGGGTAAATGATTCGATCCTTTATACAAGGGCTCGAGTAATTTAGAAAAAAAAAAACGAAAACTTAAAGAAACTGTACAAGGAAACAAATGTAAAATAAACAGCAATTCGAGAGCTCGAAGCTCATAGCCATGCTTGCGCTTATGTTCCTGCTCGTCTTACTCGAGCTCGACCAGAGTCGTTATTTGCTTGCGTGTATCCCATAGAATCCTCGATAACATGAGAAACTTAAGAAAGGGTATCGACACGAGGAAAAATTGCTACTGCAGTAAATCTAGAAAACTGTCGTGTATTTTTCAGTAAGTTCGAGTCAACTTATTGAAATTAAAAAAGATTTTGCTTTAATCTGTAACATATATCAAGCTTAACACAAAGAGGCATTAGTAGAACAAGAAATTCGAATTTCTAGCATGAAGCAGATACTTTCGTAACAGGACCTACCTAAAATCGTATTCTGTATGTAGCTTAGAGCGACAGAGCAGCCTTCCGCTAAGACAGTCTTCAGACATAGTTGAAAAGTCTCGCTCTCAGTAAACAGCAGATTTTCCTTATTCGTTATTTTATGCAGGTTCGCCTTGTTTTTAAATGATTTATTTTAAAATACTGCTTGCTGGTTAACTTCAGTTTTTTGAAGCAATGGTACGTTTACGTATTCGTTGACTGCACGTATACAATCCAATGTCCACTGATTTTACTCTTGTATAAATTTGTACTAACAAAAGTACTATTGTTTCTCGCGTAGCAGTCATATTTACACTTCCTGCTATAATCACATTTGCATATCGCGTAAAATGATGTAAGATATTGTGGGGACCAAGGGAGGAAAGTAAATAATAGAGATACTTTACATACAGCTTGCGCTGCTGCCACGAATAATGTTCATCTTTTATTTATTTATGAAGTTCAACATGTACAAATACAAATTATTTTACCGGTAGATCCTTGCATAAACGCTGCATAGTTACTACATTTGAAGTACCAATAACATTAGTATTCGGTGCGATACAAGCCACCTTTCCTCCTGAAGGAGCAATGACGCCATTCCATTTCGTGATCTCTGGGTCACACCCAGTCCACTTTCCACCTCTTTTACATAAAGAATAGTTAATTTCTCCCTTAAAATTTTATATAAGACGTTATTGAAATTTTTTTCAATTTTTTTCGGGGGGGGGGGGGGTTCAAGATGCAACGAAAGG